CTGATTCCTACTCAAAGGCTCCCTATTCCATCTACCATCGCCTCTATCTGGGCCCCGTCTATCTACGCCTGCGATCGCTACCGCTAGCATATCTGCCTTTCTACGCATCTTGCGCTCTTCCTCTTTCTTACTTTCTGTTTCCCTATTCATATATACTTTGTTCGCTACCTCCATTAGTTGGGTGATAGACATACCTGCAAACCCTTCTAATTTCTGTAGCTTGCGCTTAATATCTCCGTAAGCTTGGCTGACAAAGGCGGAGTTTACCATTCGGGAATTATCAGCGTCTTCCGGATTAAAGGGGGTATACAAGCGGTATGCCTCCAATAATCGGTCATAAAAGACACTGGGCGCTTCATCACTTTTCTGAATCACCTCAACTGTCTTCGACATGTTAATAGCTTTCTTCCCTCCGGCTTTCATGCCAGCAATTATAGCATCTCTATAGGCTTTAAGTTGAGCCATATCTGCGCCATTTACATTCCAGTCAGGATCGGTGTTAGGGTAATGTGTTGCGGCCCATGCTGCCGGATTGGCTTGATTTAAAGCACGGGCTCTCTCCTCTAGCGCCTTAATGGCCGCTTGGTTAATCCTTGTCCTTTCCTCATTATTGAACAATGTCATTAATAACTGCTGGCAATCAGCCCATGTCGGGTTATGTGTCTGAACTATCGAGGTGAACAGATCGGTCATAGCTTGTGGTTTCTCAGTGTACGAGGAATTGTGGGTCTTCCAATTCAAGAGATCGGTAGTCGTGAACGGGACATATACGAAGACTGGGTCAGCATGTGCCATTTGACCTGCGGCATCGATATAGGCTGACCCAGGATTCAGACGAAGAGGCATCTGATAATGTTTTAATTGTTGGGTACCGGTCAGTTGTCGGGTTAGTATGGGGCTACGTGGAGGGGCGTCAGTTAAAGGTTCCGGTCGAGAGGTAATAGGGCATGAGGATGTGGGAACTTGATTTTGGGAAAAGTCAGTGAATAGTATACTCCGAGCCGAGCTAGAAGAAGCTTGACCGGAAGTTTGAAGTGGCGCCAAATCAGGATATTCAGATCTAATGGGGGTTGGTCCTGGTTCCGGAAGGGGAGTTTTAATACGAGGTGGGGTGGATTCTGTACTGGAGGAGGAAGCGGAAGTGGATGGGGGCAATAGGGGAAGGGGTGCAGAACTTCCTGCATTCGCGTCACTTCCTCTTAAAGGAAAGTAAGGGGGCGGCAAAGGGATCTCGGACTCAGGGGGCGTGTCCAAAATGGGCCTAACACCAGTCCTAGTGGACAAACAAGTCCTGGCCACCATGAGGCGACATTGCTCCTCGTGGCATATCCGGATCCATTTTGGCGAGTCGTTTACGGCCTGCCTCCAACAATCAATGTATGGAAACTGTCCGTAAAGTTCAGGCCTACCTGATACAGCCACGTGTACACGCTGTACCAGGGTTGGATCCAAACTGCCACGCGGCGGCCATGCCGCAACCAAAGTAGGCCACTCCCTAGTGCACAAAGTGACCAAACGTACAGGAGACATTTTAACCCCAAAATCACATGTTTTGAATCCCTTTTTAAAATTCTTTACCATACAACCTAAGGGATCCGAAATCGTTGACTCTGACGCGCCCATACTTATCAATGGAACGTCGTTGACAACGAATACTATGCACGCGTTCTTATTCAACAGTCACACCCGTTTCCTCTGGCAACAGCACCACGTGGTACAGTTACCGAGTGAAACGTACACAATAACACAATAATCACTCAGGGAATTCCCGTACACACACAGCTGTTACACCAGTCACTAAATAATCAATATTATGCCCTTTGGCGAAACTATACAGTCACCCACGCTATAATTCTCTATATATGAATTACCCGTCTATAACACACCCCAGTAACATCGTCTTTTACTAGTATCGGTTACAGTACAGTTAGCATAGGTCAAAGCACAATTTAAGGTCACAATACAATTATTAGTGGTTACGGTGTTAAACATGCAATAAACGACAATGATTAGTACTTATATACAGTGTCAGTAAATATACAGGGTTATGGTACCGTGCACTATGATACAACAACACACTATTAACACTCTCGCTAGACGGCTGAGCTCGCGCTATCTAACAAGATATACACTTTACTAACAATCTTTAACACATTTACAATCCCAACTAAACTATTGGCCAGTACCTTGAATGGACTACCTAAAACTATATACACCCGTTTTGGTTAGCCACACTGCCCAAGCACCACATATAGCGAACTAGAGGGCGGAATTTACAAAATTGCCCTTCTAGTCTATTTACTCTATCAAAAGTCTAGTGGGTTCCAAATTTACACGCCTTCCCACTTAGCCAAGATAGGTTGAGAGCTAGCGAACCGAATTTACACAGGCGCCGCTTAGTCTCCCGGTCCCTCCGACCTAGCGAACGTAATATACACCCTAGAACGCTAGTCTAGACAAGACACCGGTGTCCGGCTAGGGCTATTTACACAGGACCCCGCCTGACTAACCAGATCAAACGGTCTTACTAAAGAGCGTTCGATCGAGCGGTGCGCCTTCGCTCCTTCCCTCCGACAGAGGGGGCAGATTCCATACACAGATTTAAACCCCTTTTGGGCCTACCGCACAATCGGTATACCCCTAGTGGGTCTGCCGTCTAAAACAGCAGTTGTCTTACCTCCTCGTTCCTGAACCTGAGTTCACACTCATCGACGGGGACACCCCAGCACTTCTTACGTAGAGGCCGATGATCTCCTGGACAACAGACCAGTGGCGCCGAGACGAAGGGAGGTCCACGCAGAAGTTCAGGGGTGCAGCCGTAGAGAACGTGGGCAAAGATAGACCGTCTCACGCCTCTGCCTCTCAGCTACCGTTGAACGATGAGCTTCCCGGCCAATGCACCAAATGATACCGGAGAAACTGACGGAAGCAAAGCACAGAGGGATGGACACAGGTTTCTTCAGGAAGGAAGAGATTCTTTATTGGATCACCGATCGGGACTCAGAGGGACTAATGTCACCAAAAATACAGCAAGTTCTGAGCCCTGAACAATAGTGCAGGCTCCCTATATAGGCACATAACTCCTCCCATATTAAGCTCCACCCGCACATTCTCTTGACCAATCATTACAAATAAGAATTAACTTCCTGCTTGACCGCATGGCTTGTCCAGCACAATGGAGGAGGGGAATACTACATCCTGTATTCTTGCACATGCTCCGTACACTACTGATCGTATCTTGCCTCGTGCAACCAACTGATCGATACGTCAGCATATGCACGTACACATGCCACGTGGTAATCTCGGCCTACTAAATTTATTTTTACCGAGATTCCACCACAGTTTCATCTTCTATCTGGTTGCCGGTCATCATACTGAAGAGGAAGCTCACCATATATCCTATAAGCGGGGATAATACCGCTGCAAGCCATCCACACCAGAGCTGGATTAAGCTCTACTAAAAGTGAGTATTACCACTTCTTTTTTATTTGGATACCCGTTGGATCACTCCACACCACCTCATCATTCATCACCCTCCTTCATATACCAGGAAGGAACAAAACTACAGAGACGAACATAATACCAAGTTTTTTATTACATTTGGACTTTATTTCCATATTTTAATAAGGACTTTTCATTTCTGTCTATTGGCGCAGTCCCATCCTTCTATTTGATTGTCTTTTGTATTTATCCCAAGGTCACTTGAGGGAGTCCTTGTTTGGGATTGCTGCCTCTTGTATCTCTCTCAAATATATTAGCGCTGACTCTATTCTCTATTTTTCGTTATACATATATACATACACACGTATATATATATATATATATATATATATATATATATATACATACATACATACATACACACACACACACACTTATTTTTTTATTAACATTAACTTTAGTTTTTTAATGATTTTACAGTTGCAGGAAGACTGCCTGTCAGCACAGACAGTCCCCCTGCAGGCAGACACATGGACACCTATTGTGACCATGTGATCGCTGTGTTGAGCGATCACATGGCCACACGGTCCGAATCCGGTGTGGGGAGACTGTCTGGGCTGCAGGTAGTCTCCCCACAACGGGAGCACCGCTGATCGCCGCCATGGGGAACGACGGCGATCCGGTAAATAACTAAGACCGTTAGGACGGTTCAGGACCGTCAGCGGTCGGCAATGTAAAAATGCAGATGACTGTCCTGAACTGTCCTCAGTCCTTAAGGGCTTAATATTACCATCTCAATTCCCTGTAATTCTCTTTATTGAGTAGACCCTGTAATCAGCACTGATAAGTAAGCAGAGATTAATTAGGTCGGTTGGGTGGAGCTTTGCAGCAGTGGGTGTGGTAAATGTTCAAGGTAGGAATTGATAGCTGCGCTGCATAGTTTCCCTGGAAATTATTTTCAAATGTTGGCAACTATTGTTTTTTGCTCTTCAGTAGATAAACACATCTAACTTCGCAAAGAGTTATTGATCAATATGTGAATTTCAAATTTTAGCTCAGTATGGCCCCCACTCCCCACTTAGGCTTAAAACTGTAAATTCACATTAAAATCCTTATTATTCCCACGTTTGTGGTTACTCGCCTTTAAATACCCTGAGAAGTAACAAATTTCAAGTTACCCCCAAATTTGCCATTTTAGACTAAATCAAAACATTTCCCCATTCGATTCCCAAATCCTTCCAGTGGGATTTAGCCCCAGCCTACTTCCCCACCGATCACTGAGACACTCCGTTTCCCAGAATCCTCTCGTGTTCTCCCTGTGTTCCATGAACCCTACCAAACATTCTGTCCTGGGACTGCGCTGTTCTACTGGGAGCTTCCAGCGTCTCTATCCTCGTGTCCCCGGTCACCCGCCAAGCTCTCAGCGCTCGTTGGCTCTTTAGAAATGCGGGCCCGCCTCCCCTCATTCATGTTCGTCGCTGATTGGTCATTTCCATCCATCCGTCACCCCACTGCTCCAGCCCTGCTGGGAACTAGTTTGTTTGCAGTCTGGTTACATTCTATCGAGATCACCTGGCAGGAGGGTAGAGCTGGCTGGGCATGTTGAGAGTCTGGATGCAGCCACACCCCCAGCTGGTAAGTACATAGGCCACACTAGCTTTCTAGGAATGTCTTACCTGACACCTTACATTCCATAATGTTATTTAGACTTGGTAAGTCCCAACTGTCTAAGAACTACAACTCCCTTGATGCCTTGACAGCTTTAAGGCTTTAGGTCTTACAACAGCTGAGATCTGCGTTTTGGCCATTACTGAACAAAACATTGATTTATTTATTTTTGCAGCCACTTGCCCACTGATGGCTTATGTTTGGCACGCCTGCTATTGTGACCTAATGGCTGCCAGCCAAGGATGTAGTTGTTCTAATCTCCCCCTTTGCTGTTGGATGAGTTAATTGTACCTGGGGTAAACTAAATTCGAATTTAACTTGTAGGTGAATTGAGGTTCGTTCTGCTGTAACGGTCTCTGTGTTCTATTTTGTCACTAATGTTTAGGCATCCTCTGAAATGCTGTGTGAAGATGTATTTGTACATTATCTGCAATTTTTGAGACATCAGGAACGTAGAAAATTCAATATTTCCCTGCTGGGAAATAGTTTGTTTGCAGTCGGGTTAAATTCTATCGAGATCACCTGGCAGGAGGGCAGAGGTTTTTTTTTTTTAAGGGCCATATTAATCTCTTTGGTACTTGTGTGCTTGATGTTCCATTGACTAGTGGATACAATGTGCGGACACTTTAGGGGTTTATTCACTAAACTGGGCGTTCTGGTGAATTGACTAGAGAATTTTTTTTTATTTTTTTTTGACAACGTAGCCAAGCTGGAAAGATTTTCCAACCCTATTGTTTTTCCAGTTCTGTAGCTTTGGTGTACAATATGCAGTTCTTTATCATTTCTACACCATCTCTAGTTTAGGAAATAAAATAATTAAAATGTTTTTTTCTGCACCCAAATAAGAGCATGATTTGTGTATGTTTTGTAACCTATGGATATGGCATATGGTCTTGTATAGTTTATATTTCTGAATTGCACCTGTTCACACAGCAGGATTGTACACTGTTAGTAGCAACAAAATCACCTTGGGAACTTGTTAGAAAAATCAAATTATAATGTATACAATGAAACGTTAGGCAGACCGGGCGACACAGAATTTTGTTTTTTTGTTTTTTGCTCCCTTTTAGTTGCCAAATTGTCATTTAGACAACAATGTTCATTATGTTAAATTTAACACCCTCCCCCCTCTCTCTCAGACTACTCTGAGGGCTCACGAACTTCAAATGGGTAAAAAATGTGTGTGTATGTGTGTGTGTGTGTGTGTGTGTGTGTGTGTGTGTATATATATATATATATATATACACACACATTGCAGCATAGAGGCAAAACCGTGTAAACTAGTGATCAGTGATCTACTCCGTTTAAAAAGTACAGTGAGACAACAGTATACTCTGATAATGAAAGTGATTTCATACTTTTTGTATGACTTAAAGGACCACTATAGTGCCAGGAAAACATACTCGTTTTCCTGGCACTATAGTGCCCTGAGGGTGCCCCCACCCTCAGGGACCCCCTCCCGCCGGGCTCTGGGGAGAGGGAGGAATTAAACTTACCTCTTTCTCCAGCGCCGGGCGGGGAGCTCTCCTCCTCTTCGGCTGAATGCGCATGTGCGGCAGGAGCTGCGCGCGCATTCAGCCAGTCTCATAGGAAAGCATTCATAATGCTTTCCTATGGACGCTGGCGTCTTCTCACTGTGATTTTATTAAAGACACGGAGGCTCCTATTATGCTTCTCTTTCTTTAATTCTCCCTCAGCAGCGAAGAGAGATATATGCAAAAGAGATAAAAAGAACAAATAACATTAGCATATGACAGTGCTAACATAGGTATCCACCCCCTTCAGTATATAAGGTGTAGCACTCCATGCCTCTTCCTCTTTCTTCGCTGCTCCCTCAGAAGATAAGTACACTCTCACTTTGCTATGGTGTGCTTTGGGATATTATTATTATTGTTATCTTGCTGATTTTCACACTTTATTACTGCATGCTATATTAGATTGAGACTGTGTTGCTTTAGCTTGTGTTGGGAACACTGTGTGTACCCCTTTTTTAGCACTGTTTAGGCTGTGCCTTTACTTTACTTTAGTGTGTCTGGGGCTTACTTGGGTTTAGCTGTGTCTTCCCTCCCTCCCACCCCCCCCCCCGGTTGGGGGCTCCTTTCCCGGTCACACTCGCTGCCCTTCTTCGCCGTCGGGGCTCATATGAGTCACCCGCGGCGTTTTCGGCACTATTTTGTTTCCGCCGGCCGGACCTACTTCTAGTCCGCGCGGCGATCCTCATCACCTTAGTTCGCCGTGCGCGAGCAACGCGCATGCGCGGTTACTCGCGCCGGCCATTTTTTTGGTTTTCTGGTCGCCGGTTAAGGCGGCGGCCATCTTTTTTTCTGTATTACCCGCTCACACGCGGGAATTACTTTATCTGTGACCCTACCACTGCTTTAGGTCGGACATACCCTCCATCTCTCCCCTACTCTACCTGGGTTAATCAATCCTGGTATCCTATACCAGCCCTATCCCCCTATTTATTGTTTTATTATATTTTCATCTCACTTGCTCAAATTCCCTGACCATGCAGTCTGATGAGAAATCCTCTGGCAAGTTTAGCACCTCTATGGTCATGACTGACCCTGACCTCCAGATTGACCCTGGGCTCATGAGCTCTGAGGAATTCCAATGCCTCCTGGACTCCACCATGTCCAAATCTATATCCAAGGCCATATCTTCAGCCATGGGAGCTATGTCCTCTACTATTTCGGACTCCATTACACAGGCGCTTAAACAGGTACAACCCCCCTCTGCACCTACTTTGACCCATAACCCCCCTGAGGGGTTGATACCAGGGCGCAAAGCGCTAACCAAGCGCAGACATTCACAAGACCCCACCCCCACGCAGGTTGACCCTGCTCAGATTGACATGCCTCAGGCTGTCCATGATGGCGCGCAACAACCGCGCAGTAGAGCTTCTGGGCGAGCTACGGCTGCCAGAGACTGGAAACGGGCTAGAACCCAAGATATATTGTCTGACTCAGACGAGGAGGGGGAAGAGGGGTCAGACGTCCCGTACTCAGACCCATACGGGGACGAGCTCTCAGAGGGTGAAAGCCTCCAGGGGAAACAGTTCCCCTTAACGCCTACCCGTACCGCTGCTCAGTCAGGGGCACCCGAGGCGGAAACAAGCCACAACCCAAAAGAGGTTCCACTATTTGACCCTGACAACTTAAGACACCCACGCTCTGCGGAGTGGGAACCCTCCGAGCACATTGCCCGATACCTGGCCCTCAGAGTACGTAAGTCCCTCTCTCAGGAGGGCCGTAATAAGTTGAGAGCTGAATGCCCCCGACCCATAATTCCTGATGCTGTGGCAAAAACCCCAGAGGTAGACCCTCAGATAGCCCAGTTTCTAGCCAAGACCGGCTGGAAGTCTAAGAAGGGATTGGACTACTCCCTCAGAAACTGTCAGGACAAGTTCCTAGACACTCTGGGCCCTGTCACTAAGCTCTATGAACTGCTGGAAGCAGCTCAGTCGGGTGAGGCACCACTAGACTTTGAGGTGGCGTTTGGCTGGCTCCAACGCTTGGTCTGCATGATCGGCAATGCCAACACTGCCATGTCAACGGAACGCAGGAAGGCGATCCTGCTGAAAATTGAACCCAAGCTGGCTAGCATGGCCTCCACCGAGCCAGGGGCGGCGGCTAAAGGTCTGTTATTCGGCGAATCCTTCGTCAAAGACCTGGGCTCCTATGTAAAGACTTTTACGGCTCTGGATAAGGCCCAATCATCCATTAAAAAGGTCTTCCACCAAAAGGTTTTCGGTGGGGCCGGTAGAGGTAGGAGCCGTCTATCCGGCCGCAACCCCCGAGGTCTCTCCAGACCAGGCAGAGGCTCCTTCAACATACAGAGGCAAAACCAAGAACGTTCCTACACTCCGTTCTTCCCTTCTCGAGGAAGATCTTGGAATGCCCGTGGCGGCAGAGGAACGGCCCCAGGAAAACGCCCTTATGGTGAGTACGATTTTTCCACATTTTTCCCATATAAACGTGGGGGGCAGACTGGCTTTGTTTTCTCAGACTTGGGCCACTATCACGTCCGACAGCTGGGTGCTACAGACTGTAGAGGGTTACCATTTGGAGCTGACAGGCCTTCCTTTGCAGGTTTCCCTCCCACAAGTGCCACGCATGTCGCAGGCGCACCACGACCTCATCTCCACGGAGATAGAGTCCCTTCTCAGCAAAAATGCCATAGAGGAGATCCCTCTAGATACCCCAGGTTTTGTAAGCAACCTGTTCTTGGTGCCGAAGAAGGGCGGGGGTGTCCGCCCGGTGATCAACCTAAGACCCCTCAATGCCTTCATACAATACCGGCATTTCAAAATGGAGGGCATACACTGCCTCCGAGACCTCCTTCTCCCGGGAGATTGGATGGTGAAACTCGATCTGCAAGATGCATATCTCACGATCCCAATAACCCCATCACACAGGGACCTGCTACAATTCCGGTGGGGCACAAAGAAATGGCGCTTCTGCTGCCTTCCTTTCGGGCTATCCTCTGCTCCCTGGTGCTTTACAAAAATGCTGAAACCAGTGGTTGCATTCCTCAGGTTACACGGTATTCGTCTAATCATATACCTGGACGATATCCTCATACTGTCGGGGACACGATCCCTTCTGCTGTCACACCTATCGTGGACCCTTCACCTCCTGCAGAACCTCGGTTTCCTGGTGAACTGGGAGAAATCGGTATTACAACCCTCTCAGCAGATGGAATTCCTAGGATTCCGAGTAGACTCCATACAACAAACCCTGTGCCTCTCTTCGGACAAGATGTCCAACATAAAGAAGGAGATCAGGAGGATAAGGAACCGCCCAGACATTTCTCTAAGACAACTGGCTCGAGTGATCGGGTTACTAGCGGCCTCTATACAAGCGATCTTCCCGGGACCGCTCCACTACCGGGCACTACAACGCCTGAAGGCATCTTGCCTAAGGAAAGGGCAATCATACGATTCCAACATCACGCTGGACGAAGAATCCAAGGAGGAACTGGACTGGTGGTTAACACACATAGAAGCATGGAACGGACGGGCAATCTTCGGCTCCACTCCAGATATGATAATAGAGTCAGATGCGAGCTTACATGGCTGGGGCGCGCGCTGCGGCTCCATATCCACAGGAGGCAGATGGTCAGTAAACGAATCTTTCCTACACATAAACTCACTGGAACTACTGGCGGCCTCATTTGCCATCCGCAGCCTCACACCCAAGGGCATCTCTTGCTCAATCCTCCTCAAGTTGGACAACATCTCTGCAGTCAGGTACATAAACCATCTGGGGGGTACCAAGTCACGCATCCTGGCAGTCTTGGCTCGAGACTTCTGGCATTACTGTTTGCAAAACAATGTATCAGTGACCGCGGAACACATACCAGGTCTGGACAATTACACCGCGGACTGGAACTCCCGATACCTGAGAGACTTAGGGGACTGGAGACTCCAACCGAAAGTCTTCTCCAAGATAGCGCGCCTATGGGGCCCCTTGAGTGTGGATCTCTTTGCCTCCAGGCTGAACACACAACTTCCTCAATTTTTCAGTTGGCGACCAGACCCGGAAGCCTTGGCAACGGATGCCTTCCTGCAGGTCTGGACAGGGGGACGAGCTTACGCTTTTCCCCCGTTCAACCTGATCGCTCGGACTCTGGCCTACATTCGACGGTACAGAACCACGTTGGTCTTGATAACACCATGCTGGAGGTCTCAACCCTGGTTCCCCCACCTTCTGGAAATGGCGATCGATTTTCCGCGGTTACTACCGGATCAAACGTCCCTGTTGACCAACCCAGACGGGGAGAACCACGACCTGATAGAACGGGGAATCCTTCGTCTCATGGCATGGCTCCTTTCCGGGGACCCTGGGAAATCACGGAGGTTTCGAGAACAACTACCCAACTCTTGGCGAATGCCTGGGCACCAGGAACAAGACGCGCATATGCTACGGCATGGAGAGCTTGGTCCGATTGGTGCCTGGAAAAATCAGTGGATCCCATATCAGCTCCTGTAAAGACGGTACTCGACTTCCTTACTCAATTGTTCGAATCGGGCAAGGCATTCCGTACAGTCAATATGTACAGATCTGCTATCTCAGCGGGTCATGACCCTGTGGACGGAATCCCCCTCGGACAGAACCCCCTGATATGTCGCCTACTCAAAGGTATACGTTTCTCACGTCCACCAAAATCCAGATACGGATCCTTTTGGGATGTCAACATAGTGTTCAAATTCCTGGAAGCATGGCCCGACAATGCGGCACTGTCATTTAAACAGTTGTCTGCGAAACTACTCATGATTTTATGTTTATTATCTTGTAAAAGGGTGTCAGATGTAAGAGCCTTGGACTGGCTGGCCCGCACATTCACTCCGGAAGGTGTGTCTTTTGATATTTCTCGGAGAACTAAATCAGCTACTAAGCAGGTCTTCTACCCACGCCTTCCAAACCAACCTAATCTGTGTCCGATACTATGCTTAAAGGAATACGAAGCCCGTACTTTCCCCCTACGACCATCTAACGACGGCCCTTTGTTTATTGCACTAAATAAACCGCACCTACCAGTATCTACACCTACTCTCGCCCGTTGGGCCAGATGGTTACTAGCTTCGGCCGGGATAGATGTTACTATTTTTTCGGCCCACTCGGTCAGAGGAGCTATGGCTTCTAAAGCATCGACAGTTGATTGTCGATTAGAGGACATCCTGAGGGCCGCAGACTGGTCTACAGAATCCACATTCCGGAACTTCTATTTTAAACCTATCCAACATTTCTCGGAAAGAGTCATTGCTCAGCTTTGAAAGAGCATAATAGGAGCCTCCGTGTCTTTAATAAAATTCCTAGATTTTACTATTTACATGACGTAAAGTCATGATTTTATTAAAGACACGGAGGCGAGTATTATTCCCTCCCGCCCTCCCTGGGTGGAGGATTCGGATTTCACTGGGATATCAATCACAGATCAGGTGAGTTCCTACGACCTAATTACCCTAGAGAAAAAGGGTTCACATACGCCACTCAGGTAAGTGGCTTTGTGTTTAGTAGACTTATCTTGCTATATCTTAGGTTATGACATGACTGCGTTTGTACAAGTTGGTTATATATACGTGGGGATGCATGATACATCCAGTTACCAACCAGATATTACCATATTTCTCCTCTCTCTTTTAGCCTGATTTACACTACCAAGGTGGTAAAGTCCTGATGCAAGACGTTACGGCAAAAACTCAAGGACCGGACATTCATCCATCGCCCACTGTTCCTGTTCGGGTCAAGTTTATAGTTCGTTTATGGATCTAGTTTTCGGATCGCAGAAGAAAGAGGAAGAGGCATGGAGTGCTACACCTTATATACTGAAGGGGGTGGATACCTATGTTAGCACTGTCATATGCTAATGTTATTTGTTCTTTTTATCTCTTTTGCATATATCTCTCTTCGCTGCTGAGGGAGAATTAAAGAAAGAGAAGCATAATACTCGCCTCCGTGTCTTTAATAAAATCATGACTTTACGTCATGTAAATAGTAAAATCTAGGAATTTTCACAGTGAGAAGCATGCAAACGCCTCTAACGGCTGTCAATGAGACAGCCACTAGAGGCTTTAGAGGCTGGCTTAACCCATTCATAAACATAGCAGTTTCTCTGAAACTGCTATGTTTATTTAAAAAAGGGTTAACCCTAGCTGGACCAGGCACCCAGACCACTTCATTAAGCTGAAGTGGTCTGGGTGCCTATAGTGGTCCTTTAACAAATGAGAGAATTATTTTCCTTACATATGGTGGCAGTACAGTAGGGATGTACTCTTTCCATGGGACAAGCATCTGAAATTAAAAATTAACATAAACATTCCTCCCCCAACAGGTATAAGACATCAACCTGCCATGGACCCTAAGTTCTCTTTCTTGTTCCATCATGAACAGGCTGCATCTGAATTTTGTGGTGAGGCACATGGGTTGCTGCCATGGGGATCTGACCTGATGGCCTCCTGGGTGGAGAGCTGAGTGGCCTGCGTGCATCCTGCGGGATTTACGGAGCAGATATGTTTCACTTGTTTAATGCTGAGTGCGGTCACCAGCAAAGCAATCAGGAGGTCTCCAGTGAGACGCATGTGCACAGCGGTGGAACGCACGCCCGGGAGATAATGCGTTCCACCGGAGTTCCGATCGCACTACTGCGCATGCGCGATTGGAATTCACGGAAATAGCGATAAAATTTGAATGAATGCTACCTATTTAAAGGGACACCATAGTCACCCAGACCACTTCAGCTCAATGAAGTGGTCTGGGTGCCAGGTCCCTCAGGTTTTATCCCTTCACATGCAAACATAGCAGTTTCAGAGAAACTGCTATGTTTACATTTGGGGTTAATCCAGCCTCTAGTGGCTATCTTCCAGACAGCCACTAGAGGCGCATCTGCGATGCTGGAGGCACATTTCGCCTCCAGAGCGTCCATAGGAAAGCATTGGGAAATGCTTTCCTATGGACACTTTGAATGCGCACGCGGCACTTGCCGCGCATTCAGCTCTGCTGACGTCGGGCGGGGGAGGAGAGGTCACTAGCGCCGAGGGAGCCCGGCGCTGGATTAAGGTAAGTGGTGTTTTAACCCCTTCAGCGCCACGGGATGGGGACCCTGAGGGTGGGGGCACCCTCAGGGCACTATAGTGTCAGGAAAACCGCTTTGTTTTTCTGACACTATAGTGATCCTTTAAACTGTGCAGATCCTACTGACAGCATGGATGCTTGCCAGGAAGGACCTCCTGTGTCACCAGCCCCACCACACGAGTTAGAGGTTTTAGAGGTGAGATTTTTTTAGTCTCTGATCTTTAAGACCTCTTTGTCTCTTATTTTTTTCTTAAATTTCAACATTTTCATAATTGCTTTATGTCTAGTCCTGTCTCTCCAGATATTATGGATAAAGACAAGGTGCCTGCTCCTGCTGCTAAAAAAGCCAGTTATAAGTCAAAACATCTGAGTTGTAGCGAATGCTCCACACCGCTATCAGATGGTACTAAAAGGAAAATCTGCAACCAGTGTTAGTCCTTATTGCTGGAAAAGTCCAAGCAACAGGACATGAAGTCATTTTTATCTTGGTTTCAAGACAATCTAACCCAGACATTTGAGTCATGCAAAGAGTCTGCAAATCCCAATGTACCAGCACCCGTTAAAGCTACAGCCAAACAGAGATCTTCTTCTAAATCAGAGCTGTCCTCGGGCGAATGTTCTATGTCTTCCTGTAAAGAAACGTCCAACGATTCTTCTATGACAGAACTCTGTTTCCCACAAGAAGAGTTAAGAACATTTATTAAGTAAGTTAATGTTGCCTTCTCTGAAGACACATCAGATAAAGCGAGTAAGAAAGCTTTTCCTGTTCCACAGCAGATTCTGGAACTTATGTACAGAGAGTGGGAAAAACCCTGGAAAAAGGGCGTTTATTTCCAGGCATTTCAAGAACATCATAAAGCTGCAAGAGGAAGACTTGCCAGTCGTTGACGTACAAGTTGCTCAGTTGTCTAAAAAGACTACTATACCGATTGGAGAAGTCTCTGGACTTAATGACCCTATGGATAAAAGGGCTGAAACATCCAGCAGACAAGCATATCAAGCAGCATGATTTCAAGCTAAAGCGGCATTGGCAGGAACTTCAGTGATAAAGCTCAGTATTGTTGAATTCAGGGATTGGAACTGATAGATAACCAGGACAAAGATCCCTCTCACCTGTTCCACAATTTAAAGTTATCTAATGAATATCTGCTAGATGTTATCACAGAGGTAATTAAACTTTCTGCTCGTGTCATGGGATATCGGAAACCAAAAAAGCTCTTCCTCAGGACAGGAAGTATTCCTGGAAGCCCAGATACAAGAACCACAGGGGGTATCAAGAAAAATCCAGGTTTTTTTTGTTTTTGTTTTTGTTTTTATCAACAAAGGAAAGATCCTAAGGTTGATGCAAATAAAGACTTCAAGACTGACAGAGCAAATCCATAAATTTTGAATCTAGTTGCAAGAGGATACAAAATAATGTTCTTAGATATACCAAGACCAAGTTTCCTTGTCTCCTACCGTTCAAAACTAAAAAAAAACAAGCTCTATTCTCCGCTACGGTTACTCTTTTAAAGAAAGGTGTTGTAGAAAGAGTTCCAAGAACCCAGCTGTATAAGGGTGTATTCTCTCGGTTGTTCCTGGTCCCAAAATCAGATTTGTCTTTTTGTCCCATTTTGGATCTAAAAGAATTAAACAACAATATTCCTTACCAGCATTTCAGAATGGAAACCATCGCACCAGTCACTCATATCCTCCAAAAAGGAGATTTTTATGGCATCTTTAGATTTGAAAGATGCCTACCTTCACATTCCTATGGACGTTGGCTCAAGAAATTACATGCGATTTGCCATAAGAAAGGGTCACAAGGTTCATCACTTTCAGTTCAAAGCTCTTCCATTCGGTCTTGCCTCAGCTCCCAGGATTTTTACAAAGGTTCTTACGCCTATCACAGCCTTCTTAAGGGTACAATGTATCACGGTTATTCCATACTTAGACGACTGGTTCATAAAGGCAAAGTCAAGAGATGCTCTAGAGATGGATGTGGCTTACACCCAAAAAATCCTGGAAGAACATGGTTGGGTGATAAACCTAGGAAAATCACATCTGCATCCCACAAGGTCAATTCATTTTCTAGGGTTTTTGATCAAGTCAGACTATTCACCTACTGGCGGAAAAAAGAAGATAAATAATCTGACAAAAGAACTTCAGAGAGATCCAAAATGCTCTGTGAGGAAAGCTAAGCAGGTGTTAGGACACCTTACTTCCACTATCCCAGCAGTAAAATGGGCCAGAGCAGAATCAAGGCCTTTGCCTTGTGGGAAATACTTCAAAAGTGGTCAAAGAAAGAAGACAACTTGGATTCTTTAATAAACGTTTCAGATCCTGTAAGAAGACAACTAGATTGGTGGCCAAAAAAAACTCCTGGTCGCCTGCCCAAAATAAATATGGTGCCGACCATGTGGTCACCGCTATCGATAGCTCTGCCCCCCAGAGTCACACGAACTTGCGTGTGATGTAACAACGTCGACGCACGTGCACGTTCTGGGGTCAGAAGTCATCTTCTGACCAATCACTTTCAAAGGAGGGATATTTAAATCGCTGAAGCTTCCCAGTTCATTGCCTTGTCATGGTTTCAGTTCCTGGTTCCCTAGAGTGTGTTTTCTTGTCCTATTTTTGATATTCCTGGTATTTTGGCCTTGGCCATTCCTGACTATTCTGATTTCTGGTTTCCCTGACTTGGCTTGTTAAACAGTATTGTATATTTCTGGCTTCCTTGACCTCGGCTATCCCTTGACCATTTTCTGTCTTTAACGTATCAGTCCGGCCATTCTAAGGACCAGTTTACGTTCTATACTTTCTGTTCTGTCTATGTAGATGTTACATAGTTCTGCGTGCTGGACCTCACTAGCAGTCGTGACACAAGGATAAGAAAATTGCACTCCCTTTGCACACGGCTTTTTCATCATCTGCGGAATAAACAGAAATTCTTCCAGAAAAAGTTGTTCTGTGTCCGAAACCTTTCGTTTCTACCTAAACTCATCTCTTCCCAGGCTTTCAATCGACTTATTTCCCTGTCTTCCTTTAGTTATCCATCTGTATCTGATTTGGATGATAATTGGCACAAGTTGGATATCTGAAGATTTACTTAGACCGCTCCTCTACATACAGGAAGACTGACCATCTTTTTGTCAATTTCTTTGGAAAATTTAAAGATCATGTTGCCTCCAGATCTACTTTAGCGAGATGGCTTGTGAACACAATTAAGTTGGCTTCTTCTTCCTCAAATCTGCCTCTACCTGCCTCCTTGAAACTCATTCTACTAGAGCAATGGCTGCTTCCTGGGCCAAAAGAGCAATGCTTCACCTGAAGATATCTGCAGAGCTGCTACATGGTCTTCATTCAACACCTTCGTCAAGTATTATAGACTAAATGTATTCTCTGCCTCTGACGCTGCTTTCGGGCATAAGGTGTTACAAGGGGTGGTTGCTTATTTCCGCCCACAGATCTGGGATCTCGATATATCCCTATTATACTGCCACCAAATGTCAGGAAAAACTGCAATTTTACTCCCCGTAAATTCCTTTTTCTTTAATATGGTGGCAGTACACACTCCCTCCCTTTATTAATACATTTTATATTTTTGCAGTAGTATGTCTCTGATGTTTATTGGGACGTACTGAGGGTCCATGGCAGGTTGGTGTCTTATATCTGTTGGGGGAGGAGCGTTTATGTTAATTTTTAATTTCAGATGCTTGTCCCATGGGAAGAGTACATCCTTATTGTACTTGCACCATATTAAGGAAAAAGGAATTTATGGTGAGTAAAATTGCAGTTTTATATATTTTTTTTGTTTTATCTTTTTTTTGCAGTGGTTTTGGTGTTTACAGTACTCATTTAAAGGGGCACTCTAACAGGGTTACCGTATTCACTAAACAATTCATTTTAGAGCTGGAGTTTAAAAAAAAAAAAAAAAAAAACTTATTTACTTGGACATCAGTGCTGGAATAGGATAAATACATGTTTATTTTTAACTCCTACTCCGACATCATCTGATTAGGCCCTCTCCATAGGAAGGCATTGACGCAATACTTTCCTATGGGGATTTCACTGATGCTGGATGTCCTCATGCAGAGTGTGAGGATGTCCAGCGTCATTTAGGGCAGCCACTGGAGGCTGTTTTAGGTCTGCAATGTAAGCATTTCAGTTTCTCAAAAAACTGCAATGATTTATATTGCAGGACTAAGTGGGTCAGGAACACTACACCCAAACCACTTGAATGAGATAAAGTGGTCTGAATGCCTATAGTGTCCCATTAAGCGTCAGTTTTGCCATTCAGTTAACTTCAGTGTTTAGTGAGTAACCCTGTATGTATCATAACCAACACAGCCTTCTATAGTGGATATAGTGAAAGGAATCTCCAAGCCCCATGCTATGGCAAGTAGTCAGGCCTTTTCTTGAATGGTGTGATTTACCGGGGTTCACCAAGTTCCCACAGTTATTTCCAGTAAAGCGGGAGATCTCATTCCATTTTAGCTATATCCGTTTCAACTTTTCAAATTGCTGACTGTCTCAGTCAATCAATCTTGGACAAAATCCATATTCTTAAAGCACATTGGCTGTATCAAGAAGACTAAAGTGATAGAGGCAGCCTGGGGGAAGGACCAGTTAAGTGTGTCAAAACATTCAAAAATGGTTTGATTACTTATTGAGGAATGGAGCTATGGGACTTCTGTCACCATAACAACTACAATGTGTTGTAGTGATCATGCTCCATAGACTACCTTTTTAATGAATTATTCACTTGAGACAGGAGGACAATTTTCTTCTCTATATGCCTGTGATCCTGCTCTCATCTGTCTCTTTAAAAAAAAATTAAAAAAAAAATGTAAATTTTAGAACTTTTGTTTTTTCTTCCTGTAAATCTGTATGGCTTAGTTGCACTTCTTAATACTACTACGATTTGTGTGTTATTAACCTACTATGCCCTGTTTTTAAGACTAGTTAAGAACGGATGTGTGCTTTCTACTCGTGTTATCAGTTAATTTGTTAATGCATGTGTAGGTGAAATTGCATTTCTTATATACAAGTGGGCCTCATCTTGCATACCTCTATGTTGTATGTAGGATAACAGGTTAATTTTAATGAAAATACTGGCATGGCCATAGTGATATTGAGAGAGAGAGATTTTTTTTATTTTATTTATTATTTTTTTATGTATTTTCTTTATACTAATGTGAGGGGTGTAATACTGTGAAAGAACACTGTCTGTTTTCTGTTCACAGTGTTGAGAAGTGTCAAAGTATCTGCATATTTCAGGCCAAATAGTCACCTAAACTACTTAGTCTTCATTTGTTTTTGTTTTTTTGTTTTTTATTGCTTTCTCAGTTGTAAATTGTATTTATACCTTTTCAATAAACCATATCTAGTTTGCAGTTGTAATGCCCTTTGAACCTGTTAGAGAGTGGAATTTTTACCAGCATTCAGTGGGTTATTTTGACTCCCTCGACATATAGTAATGGAGCCAGTTAGTCTAGATATCCATGCAAATTGCTCTCTGTAGATTAATGGCACAACCTGAGTTTACTGAGGAAACCATTTAACACTTGAGCAGATGTTAAAGCGGCACTGTCATGCCGAACTTACCTTTCCTCAATCTCTTCCTCTTCTCCCCCTCTCTCAGGATCTGTTCTTCTTTTCTTCCTGTCTTCTTTAGTTTTCTTTAAAATCATAAGACAAAGTAGTGACTCTGCCTCATGGAGGATTCCTCCGCTTGACCAGCTCTGACCAGCGGAGGAGCAAAGTGTGCTTCATTTCCGCTGGTCAGAGCAATTTTCCCATAATTCTTACCTTTCCTCTGTGTTCCCGCGATGCTTCCTGTCACTTTACACGAAACTGCCGAATTGCGTTCTAACTGAATGAGAACAGTATGTTTGTTTGTTTTAGAACACAATTCGACACTTTATTCGGATCGGAATTTCATTCGATTGAATGAAACTCCGATCCTATTCTTGATGTGGCTGCATCTTGCAGCCGCTTAGTAGATAACTCACTAATTCCCACGGTATCAGGGAGCTATCTACTAAAAGGCTGAAAGACCTAAATTGGTCTTTCAGCCACATTTACTAATACTAAGTAAAAATTAGGGATCGACCGATATTGATTTTTTTAGAGCCGATACCGATAATCTGCGAACTTTCAGGCCGATAGCCGATATCTTGCCGATATTCTGTACATTTACTATTTTTAATAAATAAACTAATTCGAAAGGTAAATGCACAAAATATACATGCCACATGTAGTGGATGAAGTGTGTTTAGACAGGGGAACTGTGTGTGTTTGTGTAGTGTGTGTGTGTGTGTAGTGGATGCAGAGTGTGTTTGTGTAGTGTGTGTATAATGAATGTAGTGTGTGTAGTGTGTATATAATGCAGTGTGTTTACGTAGTGTGTGTGTGTGTATAATGCAGTGTGTTTTTGTGTGTGTATGTAATGCAGTGTGTGTGTGTTTGTGTAGTGTGTATGTATGTAATGCAGTGTGTGTTTGTGTAGTGTGTGTTTGTGTAGTGTGTGTGTGTCTGTGTAGTGTGTATGTAATGCAGTGTGTGTGTATGTAATGCAGTATGTGTACTGTGTTTGTGTAGTGTGTGCAGTGTGTGTTTGTGGTGTGTGTGTAGTGTCTGTCTGTGTAGTGTGTGTATGTAATGCAGTGTGTATGTAATGCAGTGTGTGTGTATGTAATGCAGTATGTGTGTGTTTGTGTAGTGATGTAATTTGTGTAATTTTTTATTTTAATATTTTTTTATATTTAAATGTTTTTTTTTGTTTAGTCCCCCCCCAGTGTGTGTTTGTGTAGTGTGTATGTAATGCAGTATGTGTGCAGTGTGTGTGTGTGTGTGTGTAGTGATGTAATTTGTGTAATTTTTTATTTTAATATTTTTTTTAATATTTAAATGTTTTTTTTTTGTTTAGTCTCCCCCCAGTGTGTGTTTGTGTAGTTTGTGTAGTGTGTATGTAATGCAGTATGTGTGCAGTGTGTGTGTGTAGTGATGTAATTTGTGTAATTTTTTATTTTAATATTTTTTTTTAATATTTAAATGTTTGGGTTTGTTTTGTTTAGTCCCCCCTCCCTGCTTTTTACCAGGGAGGGGGATATAGTATCCCCTGGTGGTCCAGTGGCTTGTTAAGTACAGTGGTGGCTCAGCAGCAGCAAGCACTGACTTACCTTGCAAGCAGCTCCTACAGCTCCCTGTGTAAATCTCGCGGCTCTTAGTGCCGCGCGGAGCGTTGCCATGGTAACCCGTGGCAACGCTCTGCGGCCGCGGGTCTCGCGAGATTTACACAGGGAGCTGCATGCAAGGTAAGTCAGCGCTTGCGGCTGGCCCCCACAGGACCGCCGGGCTTCTAATGGGCCCGGCGGTCCTGTTATATATTATCGGCAATATCGGTATCTGAATTGGCCGATACCGATATTGCCGAAAATACCAAATATCGGCCGATAATATCGGCCAGACCGATAATCGGTCGATCCCTAGTAAAAATTACTTAGTATTAGTAAATGATCTGCCCCTACTCGCTATACCGCGAGTAGGGGCATGTCTAGTAAGCAGTGAGCAGCCTGTGGCTGCTCACTGTAAAAAAGAAAAACTATTGGCCCCCACCCCTAAACGACGGGTGGGGGCCCTAAAGTAAAATAATGGGGGAGACCTAATGTCGTCCCCCCGGCCCCCACCCCTGGGTGGCGGGTGGGGGCCATAGTGAGAATGAGGGGGGGGTGGGGGCCATAAAGATAATGGGGGACCTACTGTCCTCCCCACCCCCCCGGCCCCCACCCCTGGGCGGCGGGTGGGGACCATAAGTCAATTCCCCCCCACAGGTGACTAGGGGGCCCCTAGTCACCCACCTCCCCACCCAAATAAAAAGTCCCTACCTACCCCCTCACCCTAAAAAATAGTGAGGGGGGGAATAAAATAACTAACCTGTAAAATAAAATTAAACTTACCATTCGACGTCTTCTTTTTTCTCAAATCTTCATTTTTCAGCCCCAAAAAAGGCCAAATAAAAAACCATCATAATCGTCGAACTTAAAATAAAATAAAAACCCAGAGCGCAAAAAAATAAAAACCTGACGAAAAAGAAAAAAACCCGAGCGCAAAAAAATAATCCATCTTCACCCATGGAGGGCTCCGCGCAGACTGAGCTCCGCAGGGCGGGGGAAGGCTTATAAAGCTTTGCCCCGCCCTGCAATTAGGCTAAGAACACTCTGATTGGTGGGTTTAAGCCAATCAGAGTGCTCTTTGTCATTTTACACAGCGTGGGGAAATTCAAAAGAACTTTCCCACGCTGTGTAAAATGACACAGAGCACTGTGATTGGATGGCAGCCACCCGCCATCATTATGGCCCCCACCCGCCGCTCAGGGGTGGGGGCCGGGGGGGAGGACAGTAGGTCCCTCCCCACTCATTATCAACATGGCCGCCGCCCGGGGGGGGGGCAGTAGGTCGTCCCCTCATTCTCATTATGGCCCCCTCCCGCCGTGAGGGGGGGGGGACAATAGGTCTTCCACCTTATTTTACTTTAGGGCCCCCACCCGTCGTTTAGGGGTGGGGGCCAATAGTGGGTTTTTGTTTTTTTTTGTTTTTTTAGGCTGCTCACTGTTTAGTGGTTTAGTGGACATGCCCCTACTCGCGGTATAGCGAGTAGGGGCATTGGGGAGATTTTAATCTCCCTTTTGCTAATATGGAGGTCATGTTGACCCCCATAGAGTAAGGTGGGACACGGGGAGCTTATCACGTGGTGGGGAGCACTGCTCCCTGCCGCTTCTATAGTTACATATTACAAGGAGGGAGATGCATGCCGGTAGCTCCCTCCTTGTAATAAACTGAACAAACAAACGAACACTGATATTCACTTGTGATTCTGGGGCTAAAGTGGCATGAGTGCTTGCATTTTTTTGGGGGGGAGGGGGGTTTCCCTTATTTTTTGCAGCAATACTAATGTTCTTAATCCATATGGACTGGTAACTTGCAAATTAAAAATGAAATAGATCCCACCCCCTTTCACAATCCCATTAATACCTTGAAGGAACTGTATAGATAAAAAAAAAAAAAATGCATATCCTCCTGGGAGGATGGCTGACAGCAGCTGGAAGAGAATGTATTGCGTGCATTAGAGGGAGGGAGAGGAGCACATATGGGCTGTAGCTGCAGTGCAGTCTGTCCTGTGAGTATTCCTTACACTACAGAAGACATGCCTCTATTTTCATTGGCTGCAAAAGGTAAGTTTATTTTCAGAGATTGGGAATCGAGGGGAAAAAAAGGAGAAAAGAGTGCTGCAGTTCCACCACCTTTTGAAAATGCCACACAGAAATCTAAGCATTTGGTATGTGCAGACTGTGCAATATTGCTTCCGGACAGTTGCAAAAAGAGATTGTGTAATCCATGCTTAAAGGAATCTCTCGAGAAATCTAAGCAAAAATAAATGTCTGCATATCTGACTTGGTTCCAGGATAATTTACAGCAGACCTGAATTCAACGAGAGCGCAACATGCAAAAAAAAAATAAAAAAAAATCTTGGAAATCAGAAGTTCACCCTCGCCCTCTAAATGATCCTCTGGGGAGTATTCAAGGAGCTCAGTCAGCTCAACCTCACTAAGCAAAGATTCAGATGAAGAAACCGATTTTATCGCAAAGCAATTTAAAACACTCTTTAAAGGGACTCTCCAGGCAAAAGCAACTTAATCCAAATTAAGTTGTTATGGTGCCAGGAGGCGCCCAGGGGCACTCTTACCTCAAGGGGCTTTTGAATCTTCAGAGTCAGGAAGTGCAGAGTGCTGGCGGACAATGACACTGTTGATTGGCTGAGAGCGGTCAGCCGACGCTCTCAGCCAATCAGTGATTCCCCTTTCATAAAACTGGCATGCAGAGAAACACAGCTACAATATCCTTTATTTTATTTTATTTTTCCTCTCTCTCATATCTCTGCCTTGGAAGGTCTTAAAATTAGGTAAATACAACCTCAGATGAACAGATGATTATTATGTCCTGAAATGTAAAACCATATAATTCCAAGATGGTGTATTTTCTTTTTCCCATGAGTGTGTTTTGTGTGTGTATAGTTCTCATATGAAGTAGGATTCGCCAAACCCAACATAGACAGGATTAAAGGAATGCTATTCATAATGCTATAGTGTTCCTGTCGTGTTTACATTGCTGGGTTAAACAGGCAGAGGCACTGCAATGAGATGAAGTGGTTTGTGTGCCTATACTGTTTCTTTAAAGATGGCGTTATAAAAGGGAGTGGGGGGGGGGAGGTTCCCTCCCTACAGCTAGGGTTAGCCAAATCATATAATGCTGGCTGATCATCTTGGGAGTTGCAGTTCCATTATAACTAAGGGTATTAAAGGAACACTTCAAGCACCAAATCTACTACAGCAACCTCTACCGCTTATGTTGTCATGAATGCCCTGGTATGTCCACGGTATGTAGTCAAACGTTTTGAGAAAAGTTTCACAACCTCCTCCCTTGCAGCTCCCTGTATCTCTACTGAGCTAAGTCTTACAAGGCAGGGTCCATTGGCTGAGAGTGTCAGATGAGCTCGCTGTTAATGCGCATTAAGTCCTGTGACCTTAGTATGTGGTTGGAGTATTCCTTTAACCATTATGGTGCTTGACATTTACTATTATTATGTTATTTATATAGCGCCAACAAATTCCGTAGCGCTTTACATTGGGTGGACGAACAGACATGTAGTTGTAACCAGACAAGTTGGACACACAGGAACATAGGGGTTGAGGGCCCTGCTCAATGAGCTTACATGCTAGAGGGAGTTGGGTAAAGTGACACAAAAGGTAAGGATAGTATTAGACTAATGACAGTTGCAGGAGCGGAATCAGTCGGGAGCTATTAACAGTTTAATTGATATGCTTTTATGAAGAAGTGGGTTTTTAATTATTTTTTTGAAGGAGTGGAGACTGAGTTAGATCTGATCTTGATCCACAGGAATGGTGCAGCCCTTGAGAAATCTTGAAGGCGAGCATCAGAGGTGGGAGTACGGACAGAAGATAGACGTAAGTCTTCAGGAGATAGTAAGGGCCTAGACGGGACATACTTGTGTATTAGGGTGGATAGATATGTGGGAGAAGCATTATGTAGAAATTTGAAAGCAAGAACCAGAATTTTAACTTGAGTCCTATATCTTACAGGAAGCCAATGTAGGGACTAACAGAAGGGTGAGGCGTGGGAGGTGTGGGCGGATGGGTACTTGGAATGTTTATTTTAACCATTTCAATTTGGCAAACCACATTCAGTAACTTGTGTTGCCATGGGTGTCAACCAGTGTCATCATGCCTTAATTCCCTCCATACTAGTAAATACTAACCTATTACCTACTTTAATTTGTTAAAATGTATGTGTATTTAGGCTGTTTAATGTAAAAACATAATTTTAACAATTCTAATGAGCCACATATATTTCATCTCATTAGAAAGCAACTCTTACATGAGCTTACATCTAATAATAAACACTATCCTTCCATACATTATTGCCAATAGAATGCAGTGTAGTGCAATATATATGATCTGATCTTGATCAGGATCCTATTTCATTTTCAGCTTTATGGATTAATAAAGGAAAAATAGTTGTTAGAGAGGGCACATCTATAACATGATGTTTTTTTTTGTTTTTTTTTTTTTAAAGAACACCTTTGTATTAGAAATTAGGCAGAGTGTCCGCAACAGTGTGGGTGTTGGGGTTACTCTGTTTTTGCAGTGCACCTGAAATTATTTCAGTTTTATATAATATACAAAGGAGTGTAAGCATATTATTCAGCTAAATAAAATAAATAAGAATATTTGGTGTCACCGACTAGTGGTACTGTGCTACCCCCGTCAATACATTATAATATTGTAATATTACCTAGAAGCGACAACTCCCTCTCCACTATATTGCCTTTCCGACATGAATGGTTTGGAAAATATTGTGCCTTCGAGCAAGCATATCTTTTTATATTTAGCAAGCCAGCCTTTTTTAAAATCCTAGCCAAAATAGAAAAGTGAGTTGGCGAAAGATCACTGTTTTATATTCAGTGACTAAACTACAATACCAATACAACCAGTGTTAAAACACACATAAATATACTTTAAATTAGCATTTGTCTTGGATTTATTTATTTTTATGGTACAGTGTTTTGAATATAATATTTTTCATGTGTTTCATATGCCTTTTTTGTTGCATATCCTGTGGTTTTTAAATAACACGTACGTGCCTTTGCCCTTACTTTTGCTGTGGCTGCTTAACCCTGGTATAGACTGTAGCAGCAAGCACATTTTGTTTAATGCATGCCATGCTGGCACTCCAGGAATGTGCTGTAGTTTTGATCTGAGGGAGGTGGAATTTTGTACCCTGAATCTTTTCAGTACTAGCTTACAGTCAAGTTGCATGTACACATTCAAAAATCATGTATTTGAAATACAGACTTAGTCATTCAACTATTCTATTAAAAGAAAAACACTTAATCTACTGATCCTTATATGTCACCATCAAAAGAAATGGGATGATTTTTATTTATTCATTTATATTTAGGCATGCTTTCGTGAAGCAACTACCGTATGTAACAATATTTAAACAGTATGGATTATCATGAATAGAAGAAATAAGTGCTGGAAACAATTGCATGATGTGATCCTTTCTCTGCTTTTATTCTGGGCCCTTAAAACTTCATATAAGGTCCACAATGAAACCTAAACATTTTCTGAGTGGCAGGCAAGGGGTTGGGCTTTATGTGACCATACAGCCCTGATTTATTTTGTCAAAATGCTCGAAAGAGTTGATTAAAAAGATTTTAAAAAATAATGTAACTACACCCAGAGACTCTTAGCACCATAAACACTGCACTGTCCTGTAGATATTGTGCAATGCTTGGGTTTCCCTTTTGAATGCTTACTCCAAGCATCATAATCACTCTCTGCTGCTGTATTGGATATGATGTAGGGAGAACCCTGATCCCGTTTCCTGGTACTTTCATAGGGCAATATAGTTTCAATAATATATAAAACAATCACAATAGGAATTCTATAGTTGTCACACTCACATTTTTCTGAGACTGTCTATATAACCCGTTTCAGCCGGTTTGAAGGACCGCCAACCAGAATACGCTGCGTCAAATGATGCGTACTGACATTTTGTGTGTGTGGCATTTCCTCCCATGTATGGCCAAAACCGGATGGGATGCCATATTAGGAGAGGCAATCTTACATCCGGTTCGGACATAATATGGAAGTTCTTGCCGATTTTTAAGATGATTGCACCTGTTTTGCATTACCAATAGCCAGTATTAGATTATATAAACTTGTTAGATTAGTTGCCAGGTAGATTGCACCTGAAGAAGCGTTCTCTGAAGGTTGAAACGTGTTGTGCCTATTATCATTATGGATTGTGACACATCAGTTACATAAATGGAAGGTTTTTATATTTATTTGTAATAAATGTTATTGACTTTTATCCTGGTTGTGCATCTCCTATTTTTCTACTGAGGATCAAGTCACCTCCAATATTCCAGTGGAACCCCAGCATCACACCACAAGCTATATTCCCTGAGCCAGTTATATAGACCGGCTCAGAAAAATGTGTGACAACTATAGAATTCATATTGTGATTGAAACTAGATTGCCCTATGAAAGTATTCTGTTTATTTTCTGCACTGACATCTACTACAGAAGAGAGGGTGTGTGTGTGTGTGTGTATATATATCTATCTATATACTTTTTATATTGTTTAGGACTACTGGGACACGGAGAGTATATTTTATGTGCTGTAAACTATTGTATATTTCTTGTTTCTTTTGTGTTGGGTTTCACGTGATTAATTCCACAGTGTATGCTAGCTGCAATTTTGCCTCAGCGCCACTTGTATTACACACCAATATTGTATGCACTGTAGGAGGTATGATGCCATTAGTACACTGGTGACTTTTCCTGATAAGGGGGCAAAACCTTATGCAACAGTTTGCCACTTGCCTGGGTCCTGCTAAGAACAACATCTGAAATGATGGGGCTGAGCTGCATTTATCTTCTGCAGTAATAAAACCGATATAAATTCTTACAAAACATGATTGACATACTGGAACAGTGGGTGAAGAGTTCCCTGCCCAAACAAATTTACAATTTAAGTGTTCTTTTAACGATCCACTCTACTATTCTACTCTAGTAGCAAACAACTAAAGTGAAATCACACATTGACTAATTTTTGCTATACATAGTACAAATCAAGAATCTCACATCCCCTGGAAGATTTTATTGAATTTATAGGTTTGTGGTAACTAGCAGCAAAATCCATGCTCAGCCATATTTTATATCTACAAATTATCAAAGTAACAGAAGGTTTCCCTGAAGTCTGAAACTAATTCGATCTGTTCATGCAAATGTATGGTGTGGGGGCTGTGAGATGCACAGATGTATACTTAATATGTGTTTAGTGTTGGGGGCACCGAGCATTTGGTTGTATGGGTGCAAATGTTAATAACAGTCAATCCTGGCCCCATTACTTGATCTCATTATTTGTGCAATCTATAATTAGGGGAGAGCATATGAAATATTAATTACTGTCGTAGTTGCTTATCTGCCCCCATATACTTTTTTTTTTTCTGCCTTCCAACCCTGCATTAATACAAAAGACTTTAAAGTCGACACACAATTAAACGTGTTTTTCATCACCCAATCTTGGTCAGGCAGCTCAGTATAGGGCAAAAAAAGCTTTAATGAGCTCAGAAATGATCAACTCACACCACATGTCTGATGTGATCCCTTCCTTCCCTCTCAAATTTAATTTCGCTGCAAAACTGCAATTATCTGAAGGGGAGTTAGTGTATGTATTGGTCAGTGACATTTGCAATCACTGATGTTCTTTGCTTCTAAAATCTGGAGCTTCTGTGTTGGTCCTTTTGTAACTAAAATAAAGTCCAAAAAAACAGTGTTTTATTCTATAAATGGCTAATGAATGGGAAGTAGAAAATGAATAAACCCATATTACTGAAGCTCTTTGTTACTTGGATTAAATTTAAGGATAATGCAATAAGTTAATTTAATAATGGAATACATTTTTGTTGACATCAGTTTTTTATTTTATTTTTTTTCTAGCCTTTACATAAACTGGATCAGTTAACCTGATACATCACTTTGAATAATATTAAATTCTGAAAAGGACACTCTAAGCCATGGGTTCCCAATTCATTTGTCCCGTGGAACCCTTTGACAGGAACAGCCCCTTCCGCCCCCCCCCCCCCCCCCCTCGGGAAAGAAAAACAATTGTGCAGTTTATTGTATGTGTCAAGATGTGTATATATGTGCTTGTATGTGCCAGTGTGTGTATCTTACACACACACACACACTGGCACCTTGACACACAGTGTGTATCTGTGTTTTGTGTCAGTGTGTATCTCTGTGTCAGTGTGTATATGTGTGACACACAGACACACACACACTGGCACATAGTGGCACAGAGATACATATTGAAACACACATCTTGAGTCACAAATACACACACACTCAGATATACACAGTGACATATACACACACTTGCACCCACATACACACACTGACACACTCGGATACACAGGCACATACTAACACACTTAGATACACACAGTGACGTACTCAGACACACATACTCTTTTACAGACACACATACAAACACATATACCTCTCACTGACCAGCACACATACTCTTTGACAGACACACAAACACATACAATCTCACACACATTTTTTTTAAATATTTTTTTTTACATTTTACTCCACCCAGTCCCCCCACCTTTAGAGTCCCTGGGGTCCAGTGGGGCTGTTGAGTGGCTGGCATGCGGGTGGCGAGGGAGCAGTGATCTCCCTGCTCCGCTCCCTTGCGCGCCTCTTAGTGATCCTGGAGCCAGAGTGACGTCACTCTGTGCGCGCAAGGGAGCTGAGCAGGGAGATTGATGCTTCCTCGCCAACCTTGGCCATTTTATTTTTTAAACTTTTGGCAGAACCCCAATTGGTGTTCCGTGGAACCCCAATTAGGAAACACTGCTCTAAGCATCACAATTACTTCATCTTGGTGGTGTTTGTTCAAAGATAAATGGTGTCAGTGTTATTAACAAAACACCAAATCACCCGCTACGTGTGCTACAATCTTATTATTTACACCACAATCCAGAAAAAAAAAAATTAAATCCATTAGCGTTCCAACAAGGATTTTTACAAAAATGTGAGAGGGAATTCAAACTGAAGTGTAAATTCTAGGCAATCGACCAAAAAATTTTGGTTTGGTTTAGCCCAACATTTTAAATTCTCTAAGAATTCTCCACAATTTACTGTTTAAATAACCCTGCAAGTATGCAATTTATTTCCTTAAAAATATAATACTTACATATCCCTTAACAATTCATCTCAAGAGTATTATATTTCTAAAAGAAAACTATACACTGGTAGTTATCTGTTTTGCAATCAACGATGTGTAAGTTTAAAGGAACTAACGTTGGGGAATGATGCGCATGCATGGCGAGTGCCACAAGCACATTCAAATGCTTCTCATAGGGAGGCATTGAACTCCATGCTTTCCTATGAACTGAGTTTCACACAGTTATTGTTGAGGGAGCGCCTATAGTCACTGTCAGGAAAACTGCTACTGGGCTAAACCCTGCAATGTTGAAACCTTACAGTTTCTATAGAAAGACAATGTTTTTTACATTGCTATGTTAAAACTATAGAGCCACTGCACCCAGATCACTTTACCTCAAAGTAATTTACTTAATCAACTGTTGTGCGTGTTCTAAATAAAAAGGTGTTTATCACTAGTTTTGCTCTCGTGTAATCAGAGCAAACTTCTTTGCTGTGGTAAATGTGCAGGTTCAAAATAACACTCCGTAATATGTCTGTTTTCTTCCATCCAAGGTAAAGAAAGATATTATTCACCAAAAACAACCTGATATTTTTATATATATTATATTATATTTAAATAACGTGAACACCTCATAACAGAAACATGGCTTTCTCCCTCGGACACCTCTATATCCTTTGGTGGTCTTCAATTTTCCCACAACCCAAGACACTCTGAAAGCAAAGGTGGCGGTGAAGGGTTTCTGCTCTCGCCTCACTGCTCCTTCAAACCTCTACCCACACCCCCTTCCCTCTCTTTCTCCTCATTTGAATTTCACTCAGTTCGCCTTTTCAAACCCATCTCTGCTAACATTGCCGTTATCTATCGATCCCCTCTCTTCTTTCTTGACCACTTTGCTGCTTGGCTTCCCTACTTCCTCTCCTCTAATATTCCATTCCTAATTCTTGGGAACTTCAACATTCCCATTAGCCTACCCTTGTCCTCAGTAGCCTCAAAACTGCTTTCAATAACCTCCTCCCTTGGGCTATCGTAGTGGACTAAGTCCCCCACCCATGTAACTGGCAATACCCTTGATCTTTTTTTATCTGATGAATGTACAATCTCTAATCTCTGCAACACTCCATTTCCTCTCTCAGATCACCACCTCTTATCATTTGCTTTCAATAGGCCCCTACCCTATCATCCTCAACCTAACCACCTTCAACTAAGAAGACATCTGAATTATATTGACCTCCAGCAGCTGTCAGCTAATATTGATTCCCAACTTCTATCCATCCCTACTTTCTCCTGTCCCTCACTGGCAATCTTCTCATATAACACTACCCTCACCTCTACCTTGGACGCTGCAGCCCCGCTCCAAACATGCACCTTGAGGAGAACACACCCCCAACCATGGCACACTAAAACAACATGCTACCTGCAGAGATGCTCCCATTCTGCTGAACGCTGTTTGAGGAAGTCATGCACCCAGTCTGACTTCATCCACTACAAATTCATGTTGCGTTCGTACTGCACAGCCCTTGCCAAACAGCCACACGTTTCCTCCCTCATTCGGTCATGCTCCCGCAATCCCAGGCCTTTTTTTTTTTTTTTTAATACCTTTTACTCCCTTCTTTGCCCTGCTGTGGCCACCCCCCCAAACTAACCTTACAGCCAATAGCTTTGAATGCTACTTTACCGGCAAGATTGAACAGCTAAGGAAAGAATTCTCACCAACTTGCCCCTCTTTTTATCAACCACACCTAGGTCATGCCTTTCTCACCCTTCAGACTTTCTCCCAGGCTGCTGAACAAGAGGTGGCTGCGCTTCTCCTTTCCTCTCGACCCACCACTTGCCCACTTGATCCTGTCTCGTCTCACCTTATCAGATCACTCTCCTCTAGTCTTATGCCTTCCTTAACACACATCTTCAACTGCTCTCTTCTAGTGTTGTCCCTGCTACCCTTAAACATGCTACCGTAGTAACCCCCCCAAAAAAATAAAAAACTCTCAACCCGTCCTGCGCTTCTAACTATCGTCCCATATCCCTGCTCCCTTTTTCTTCAAAGCTTCTGGAAAGACTTGTCTTTACCCGTCTGACTTGCTTTCTCAATTTCAACTCTCTCCCTGACTCTCTTCAGTCTAGCTTCTGTCCCCTCCATTCTACTGAGACTTCTTATCAAAGTCACTAACAACCTAATCACAGCTAAATCCAAAGGGCACTACTCTATACTAATTCTTCTTGACCTCTCTGCTGCCTTTGACACTGTTGACCATGTTTTCCTTCTCCAAACTCTTCAATCACTCTGTCTCTGTGACACTGTACTCTCTTGATTTTCCTCCTTTCTCTCCCAACACTCATTCAGTGTCTCCTTTTCTAATGATACCTCCTCCATCTCGTCCTGTCTCGGTTGGAGTCCCCCAAGGGTCTGTACTTGGTCCCCTTCTATATTCTCTTTATACTGCCTCTCTTGGAAAACTTATTACCTCATTTGGATTCCAATACCACCTGTATGCTGATGACACTCAGATATACCTCTCCTCTACAGACCTCTCCCCTGTCCTCCTGCAACATGTCACTGATTGCCTTTCTTCCATCTCTTATTGTATGTCCTCCCGCTTTTTGAAAGTCAGTCTCTCTAAAACTGAGCTCCTTGTCTTTCCTCCCCCTCTTTCGCTCTCCCTTCAAGTGATTTTTACCCACATCAGTCCATCCTTGCAAGTGCTGTCTTGGCGTTCTACTTGATTCTCGCCTCACATGCAGTCTATTACCAAATCCTGTAGATTCCACCTTAAAAACATAACCCGCATCCGGCCCTTACACAAGATGCTACTAAGGAGCTTGTCCGTGCTGTATTAATCTTTTGCATGGATTATTGTAACTCTCTCCTAATAGGTCTTCCCACAAGTCGTATTGCCTCGCTACAGTCTGTAATGAATGCTGCAGCTAGACGAATTTGCCTCTCCTGTCGCTCCTCTCACACCTTTCCCCTCTGTCAGTCCTTACATTGGCTTCCTGTATTCTATAGGAGTAAATTCAAGGTACTAATCCACACCTATAAAGCACTGACCAATTCTAGCCCCTCCTATATTTCTTCACTGATCCGCAGGTATGCCCCTTCTCGGTCTCTCCGCTCTGCCCATGACCTTCTCCTGTCTGCTACTTGCACCCGCATAGCCAACTCACACTTGCAGGACTTCTTGCAGGTGGTTCCTTTCCTTTGGAATAGCCTGCCTACGACCATCAAGCTCTCACTTAGTCTTCAATCATTTAAAAAGTGCCTCAAAACCAATCTCTACTAAAGGGCAGCACTCTATTCTCTCCAGCAGCTCTGCTTCACTCCACCTTGTTTGATTGCTACCTGCTGTCCTGTTAGGTTTAACGCCCCACCTCCTTTAGACTATAAGCTCATTTGAGCCCCTCTTCAACCTATTGTTCCTGTAAGTTTTTGTCATTGTCTCCTTTATTGTTAAATTTCCCCCTTTGATAATATTGTAAAGCGCTATGGAATATGCTGGTGCTATATAAATAACAGTGCTAGTAATAATAACTGCTAGCAATAATCCCAAAAAGCATACAAGAATGAACGGTCAATCTAGTCCACTGTCCTGCAGGTTTAATAGGTATCCAGAGTGAACATTATGTGATACCTGTGCAGAATGCAGGACAATGGACTCCGTTGACCCTTTCTATTTGTATTCTTTTTGGGGTGCTGCTGCTTCTTTCTATTTTATTTATTTTCTTCCTTTGCTTTTCCTGAGCCATCATCGGTTGAGTTTCATGGACGAGAAAATATTAAAACATTTAAAGGACAACTGTCACCACAAATAGATATATTTTTTCAAATATTTATTATAAGACTCCTTGCAGCATGTAATGGAAAACATAGCATTAGGCTCATGGTGCCTAGCGAGATATCCGCTATACCTCACTGACTAACAAGGTTGAAACGATTGTCTGGGATTGCTGTATCTCTCATGCAGAGAGATCCAACCTGCATTTTGGATCTGTTGTTTTAGGTAGAATCAGTATTTTTGTAATGGCACAAGACAATCTAAAACCAGCTTGAGATCTGAGTGGGGACCCACCACAGGGCAAGCTATTTGAGCTGTTGTCCGTTCTCAGTATGCTCTTGCACGCTATATCTAATTTATTTATTTTTAAATTACGTATATGTTTATATACCTGAACATCTGACCCTTACTTTCGCAAAACACTAGATATTTCTGCCATATTCATACACCTTTGGTCGGAATGAGGTAGAATCCAACGGTTAGGCTCATCATCAGCCATCGCCCTGTGTGGTCTGCCTGGTCCGAATTCCGACCGCATTGGCAATTCTCATATTTACTAAAGTCAAATGCGATCAGAATTAGTTCGACCCATCCAGTTCTATAATATTGATTCAAATGAGGAAACCACAGTTTTTTTCTGAACCAATCTACAGCACGGAATTGCCTTTAACTTGCTATTTGCAAATAAATTATAATTTATCATTATAACTATATGCCTGCTGACAGTGCTAGCAGCTAGAGGGCAAATAGTAAAAAAAAAAAAACTCGCCAATGTGAGGGGTAATTTTGTGGCGGCTGGCCAACATTTATTAGCCAGCATCCACGTGGAAAAAAAATAAGTGTCATATTGCTACAATGGAGGTATTTTACCTCCATCTGCCATGTGGAAGGTAGGTTCTTGTCTAACATAGAAACATAGAATGTGACGGCAGATAAGAACCATTCGGCCCATCTAGTCTGCCCAATTTTCTAAATACTTTCTTTAGTCCCTAGTCTTATCTTATAGTTAGGATAGCCTTATGCCTATCCCACGCATGCTTAACCCCTTAAGGACACATGACGTGTGTGACATGTCATGATTCCCTTTTATTCCACAAGTTTGGTCCTTAAGGGGTTAAACTCCTTTACTGTGTCTACTACACATTAAAACTAGTGACTGATCAGCCACTGCTGCCAAGCCACTAAAAAGGCCGCTACCCACCTACCCCCCTTATCTTAATACTATTGAGGGACCCCAAAAAAATCTAAAACCTGTAAAAAAATAATAATAAAAAAAATATATGATTAGACTTATTAGGGCTCCCACCCGACAACGATCGTCTGGGGTTGCTGTGTCTCTCGTGAAGAGGGAACTTGCTGGCATTTCAGATCTGGACTGCCCGTGTGGGTGGGACCAGTCTGATATGTTTCAGAGATGTTCTCTCTGTAATGGCACAAGATGAGCTAAAACCAGCTTGAGATCTGAGTGAGGACCCACTGAAGGGCAGGCTATTTCAGTTGCTATCCGTTCTCAGAATACTCTTGCGACCTGTTTTTTGCTCTCCCACCCGACAGGCATGGGTGCCAGAAAAGGGGACACTAGGTGCCACCCCCTTAACCATAGGCATGCGAAGCCTATTGCATTAGGGTGTACACCCTAAAGCACAAACACACGCCGTGTGTGTGTGTGAATATATATATATATATATATATGCACTGCTGTGTGTGAGGGTGCTGTGTGTGAGGGTGCTGTATGTGTGCTGTGTGTGTATATGTGTGTGCTGTATGTTTGGGTGATTGTGGGGGTAGATTACTTAATATCCCCCCTCCCTTCTTACCTTATGTAAGGAGGGGGGACCTGCTGCCTTCCCTGGTGGTCCAGTGTAGGTGGGGGCAGATTACTTAATATCCCCCCTCCATTGTTACCTTTTGTACGGAGGGGGGACCGTGCTGCTGCCATCCCTGGTGGTCCAGTGGAGAGTAAACTCTAGCCTGCGGGGCTAGAGTTCACTCTCGCGAGAGGAACCCGGCGGAGCTGCTGGCTAGAGCTCCCCACGTCCTCTCCTGCCTCCCTCCATGCTGCTGTGGGCTGGTGAAGGAGATCTTTGATCTCCCCACCGGCCCATGGAGGCTTAGAGCAGAGCCGGTGCTATCGATTAGTGCCGGCTCAGCATGAGCCGACAGGGGAGATCCGGAGATCTCCCCTGCCAGTCTCAATCCATAGGCGTGCCGCGGGGATTAGAGTGTGCCCAGGCACACCCCGTGCGCACGCCTATGCCCTTAACATTTATAGTATCCCCCACCCGATGCCCACTGTCGCTAGTTGCAGTGTTTAGTAGATATGCCCCTAGTTGCGGTGTATAAGACATGGCAGATTGAGGTAAAATACTGCCATGGTGTTTTTTTTTTTTTTTTAGTTTTTTTTTTTTTTTTATAAACCGTTTGTCCTCTAGCTATGTTTCTGTTTAAGCTATGCACCCCATGGCAGAATATGTTTTACAAAAATATATTTATATGGTTTACCAGTAATAATGCTTACAGGGGCACACTAAGCATCATAACCCCTACAGCAAGTTGTAGTGATTATGTTGCCGTCCTCTTTTCTATGTTGAACTGTTTTGAGCAATTTGACACGATTCCCCTAGTTGTCATTCGGCTGGCCGCTCCCTCATTCTGTTCCAAGTTACAGATTTGAATTGGCAATATCAATTTTGTTCAAATTTGGATAGGCATACATTGGTTGTGTATGTCAAATGTTTGCTCTTAAGAACAGTCCCATAGTAGTTCGCTGTTGTGGTTGTGTTTATATTCCCCCTTTAACTTGCCTCACTAACATTTGATTTGAATACAAGAGGTTTTTTTTTTGTGTGTGTGTGTGTATTTTCTATTGTGTGCATGTTTAATCTTGTTCATCTAATTGCCACCAATGTATTGCTCATTTTGTCTGTGATCAGCGCTTTGAAGCTCACTTGTAATGTCGGAGAAAGACATACTTTATCATTACACAAGGGACTTAGCATCACATTGATTTACCCCACTCGGCTGTGACTCATACGATTACATGTTGCCTGACTTCTACCGACTAAGCATTATTTCTGAGGTTTACTTTAATTTATACCTAGTTTGTCTATGACTTCACTACACAAATACCATTGTGGTAATGAAAGTCCCATCATTTTTATTTCCCTCGAGGGACAGCATGAAATATATTATAAAGTGCCATTATGAAGAAAAAGAAATTCTCATGGGCAGCTAATAATGCAATCATTGTTATATAGAATGTCTTGTTAATAAATAAGATCTCTAATTTTAAAAGATAACATATTTTTATTTCCTTTCATTTTCATTCATTTTTTCCCCACAGTTTATATGTGCCATTATGTCATGGTATTGCTTCACAAGCTGCTGTAAATGTAGTTGTTTCATATGTTCTACTTTTTTATTTATTTTGTATCCTTTCACACCAAACACAAACCCTTATATGAAAATAAACAAAAGTAAAAGTTGATTAGCCTGTTTATAATAAAGGGGCACGTCAAAACGCTGAATTTTCAATTTGATTGGCCAAAATGGTGTTTGGCCCCACCTCCTTGCTGATTGGTTTGAGTTCAGCCCTGGAGGCAGGGCCAGCCGCGGCGACACTGGGGCAGCGAAGGAAAAAAGGTAAACATAACACCTATTTACTCCACAAAGAGGGGGGCTCGACATCTAAAAATGTATGCCAGCACTATAGTGTTAGACGTACATGTTTTCTATACCTAACACGATTGTGTTCCTTTAACATAATATAGGCATTTGGCTATCTGCATTAATTTATGTCATACTTTAATGGCACTTTAACTTTAATCTGCAAGTAATAAGTTTGTGAATTTTATTTATTCGTTAATTTGTGTTCAAGAATTAAAGATAAATAATTATACTAATAAACATTTTTCATATTTTTTCTTCTTATTCCATAACAGGTTCAGGTGTCATCATGTCTGTCATTGTTCATGAGAATCGTAAATCCCGTGCTAGCACTGGCTCTATGAATGTCTCTTTATACCATAAACTCTCTCATCCAGATTGCGTTTTAAATCATCTCAATAACATGCGCAAGCAACTTCTCTTCACCGATGTGACTTTATGGGCTGGAAATCGGTCCTTCTCATGTCACCGTGTGGTGCTGGCCGCCTGTAGTCAGTACTTTGAGGCCATGTTTAGCAATGGATTAAAAGAGAGCTTGGATAATGCTGTGAACTTTCACGATAGTCTCCATCCTGAGATACTGGAACTTTTAATAGATTTTGCCTATTCTTCAAAAATTCTCATAAATGAGGAAAACGCTGAATCCCTTTTAGAGGCCGGGGACATGCTTCAGTTTCATGATATACGTGATGCGGCTGCAGAATTTTTAGAGAAAAACCTCTACCCTTCGAATTGTTTGGCAATGATGCTGCTCTCAGATGCTCACCAATGTCGTCGCTTATACGAACTCTCTTTCCGAATGTGCTTGGTCAACTTTGAAACCGTGCATGATACCGAAGACTTTTACAGTATCTCGAAAGATATGTTGCTCAGTTTGCTTTCCAGTGATGAGCTAGAGATTGAAGATGAGCAGATTGTCTTCAAAGCCTTGCTTCAATGGGTAAAATATGACTTGGACAAAAGGAAAGTCTATTTTCCTGAATTATTAAATAATGTCCGACTGGCTTTACTCCCTTCTGAATCACTCAAGGAAGCCATAACTGGTGAAGATTTAGTAATGTCTGATGAAAGGAGCAAGATTATTATGGATGAGGCTGTGCGTTGCAAGAGAAAAATACTTCAGAACGATGGAGTAGTAACTAGCCCATGTGCTAAACCTCGGAAAGCCGGTCACACCTTGTTGATCTTGGGTGGGCAGACTTTTATGTGTGATAAGATCTACCAAGTTGATCACAAGGCCAAGGAGATCATTCCTAAAGCTGACCTTCCAAGTCCAAGAAAAGAATTTAGTGCTTGTGCAATTGGCTGTAAGGTATACGTAACTGGTGGTAGAGGATCTGAGAACGGAGTATCTAAAGATGTCTGGGTTTACGATACGGTTCATGAAGAATGGTCAAAGGCAGCCCCGATGCTCATTGCTAGGTTTGGGCATGGCTCAGCAGAATTGGAAAGTTGCTTGTATGTAGTTGGTGGACATACTGCAGTTGCTGGTATTTTCCCTGCTTCTCCCTCAGTTTCATTAAAGCAAGTGGAAAAGTATGATCCTTTAGCTAATAAATGGACAATGATGGCACCATTAAGGGATGGTGTAAGCAATGCAGCTGTGGTTAGTGCCAAACTAAAGCTTTTTGTATTTGGTGGTACAAGCATACATAGAGATCGTGTGTCTAAAGTGCAGTGTTACGACCCAGCTGAAAACAGGTGGACTATAAAAGCAGAGTGCCCGCAACCATGGCGCTATACTGCTGCAGCAGTACTTGGGAGTCAGATCTTTATTATGGGTGGTGACACTGAATTCACAGCTGCTTCTGCTTATCGGTTTGACTGTGAAACAAACCAGTGGACAAGAATAGGGGATATGACTGCAAAACGTATGTCATGCCACGCTTTGGCATCGGGTAATAAACTGTATGTGGTTGGCGGATATTTCGGGACACAAAGATGTAAAACATTAGACTGTTATGATCCAATCTCCGATTCATGGAATAGTATCACAACTGTGCCCTATTCGCTAATACCTACTGCTTTTGTAAGCACCTGGAAACACTTGCCAACATGAGACTTGTTTCATGAATCACAAAAAAGGTAAAGAGATATCTATATAATTTTCATGTATATGGGGGAAAAAAACATAATTTCCCTTCAATTACCTGATTCTTCTTTCTTCACAGGTTCCTGAATGAGGGATAACGTCTCTCTGTAGTGTGTCCTTGTTGTGTGATTATTACAGACAAAAAAAATAATACTTGAATTCAAGAGTTTGCATTGGTAAAACAAACCATAAAAATAGCACATATATTTGCTAAAAAACATGCTATGCTTTTCAAGGTTAAAATTGCAACAAACACATATTACTATGTCCATTTTCATATAAGTAATTGTGATAGTGCATCAGAATAGCAGGAAAAATGAAAACCAAGCACAAGCAATATTATGATGTTATGGCAAGTTAAAGGGTTATGCCAAGCACCATGACCACTTCAGTGATTTGACGTGGTCATGGTGCTTGTAGTCTGTATTTGCAGTTTTTCGGTTTGTTTTAAATCTGTATTTATCGAATAGATAATCACAAATCATACAACAACAATGGCAAAATATGCGAATACAGGAAAGCCCCATAAGCAATTGACCGTAAATAAAAAGGTAGTAATAGCCTCTCACACGGCTCCTGTTCACACATCCTATAAAGCCATAATGATATGTACATGGATTCTAAACGTGGCTTACCTAGGGTAGAACATAATAATGTCATAATCCATCTTCAGGACCGGTTTATATAATCCCAGGGAACAGGTGTAGTTTTGCTTATCATAACTCCACCTAGCTCTTGTCATTTTGTGGCAAGAGAAGAGCTTGGCTCATAAAAAAAAAAAAAAAAAAATGCTTATGCATTAGACTAAGAAATGTCATGGTGTAAAGATTTTAAGAGTTAGAACGAGGGGAGGGAATGAGCACTGTAAAGTGTGGAAAACAAAGGAAAGCAAGAGTGAAAAAAAAATGGGAAGGGGAAAAAACTATCCCACCACTCCCTGGAGGCAAAGGCACAGGGTCCTGTACAGCAGCAAGACTCCTATATATGGATTGCCGTCTAAGATCTATGCGAGATAGGTCTGCACCTCAGGAAAGGTTAAATAAACCAGCCAATAAAACCAGCGGGTCATATAACGCTGCGTTTGAACCTCTGTTGTGGCCGACACATTTTCATACTGCCTAATTACGTCCACCTTCACCACCCATCGGGCGACAGATAAGGACTTGGAACTATGCCAAGTTCAGCAGCCATGTGTTGGATCAATTTTCCATGGGGCCCCGGTGCAAAAATTGATCCAACACATGGCAGCGGGCACCTGGTCACAGGGCTGCGACCGCGGTATGTACGCGAGTGGTACTTAAAGGACCACTATAGGCACTCACTATAGCTCAATTAAGTGGTCTTGGTGCCAGGTCCCTCTAGTTTTAACCCTGCAGCTGAAAACATAGCAGTTTCAGAGAAACTGCTATGTTTACACTGAGGGTTAATCCAGCCTCTAGTGGCTGTCTCACTGACAGCCACTAGAAGCCGCTTCCGCGATTCTCACTGTAAAAATCACAGTGAGAAGACTCTAACGTCCACAGGAAAGCATTGATTAATGCTTTCCTATGGACGGTTTGAATGCGCGCACGGCTCTTGCCCCGCATGCACATTTGGAGCTGAGAGGCGGATCGGGGCGGAGGGAGCCCGGCGCTGGAGAAAGGTAGGTGCTGAAGGGGTTTTAACCACACACACTCTCACAAACAGACACACACACATTTACTGACAGACACACACTCAGTGACAGACATACAGACAGACACACAAACACACTCACAAAACATACTCTCACTGACAAACACACACAAACTAACACACTCAGTAACAGACACACACAGTAACGCACTCACTGACACAAACTAACAAACACACACTGACTCACTAGCAGACACATTCAGTAACACACACACACTCATTTTAAAAAATTGGGAGTGCTGAGGGGATTCCAGCTTTACCTGGGGTTCAGTGGGGCTGCTGGGCGGCCAGTCACTGCAGGCGGCGAGGGAGCACTGATCCTCCTGTTCAGCTCCCCTCCCTTGCACGCCACTTACTGATGCCGGAGCCATGTCATATTCCGGCTCCGGGATCACTGCAGTGCGCTCGAGGGAGCTGGGTAGAGAGAGCTCAGGGGGAGAATGCTCCCTCGCACGCCCACCCGCCAATTTGCAGCATCCTAGCATGTAGTGACTTCGGTGTTTGATACCAGCAAATTAACACCTTATATGGCGACATCTGGAGTTTGGTCGAGTTACATATGTGGGCATAATTTTGCCTCCAGTGTGATTCCAGCTCCTCCTCCCACTTGCTTGTACAGGGATGTAACAGTAAGTATCTATTTTCCACTAACATAGTGTAGATTTAACGAGGCACCCCTTCCCCCCCCCCTTTTCGGGAATATCTCCACGTCACACAGTGCCTTAATTTGGGTGAGCAAACGAACCAGCATTTGTTTAAATCTGTATGAGAAGCATTTCATTGTTCTTTGTTGCCAGAGGTGTAACTCCACCTCCAATAGCATCATTAGCCAACAGAGTTAACTAATGTAAATTTTGTGCATAGTTTGCATAGTCCGTGGTGCCACCCAAATCCTCCCCAGTTTTATTAAAGAGAAGCTGTCACTGTTGAGCTGGTGAAAATCCTGTTTTCCATAACCCACTAGTTGTTGGTGACTGGGGTCAGGAGGGAAGTAAAGGTTAATTATAAAGCTATTTCTTCATATTAGCTATTAGCTAATCTAAAGCTATTTCTTCATATTAGCCCCTGACATGTCTAAAAATACCCTGTGCACGTATGCTATTGTGGATCATTATGGTATCACAGCATTAGTGTGATTTACATCATAGCCCAAGCTGTGCCTTTACATACATGCCGCATTGGAAAATAAAAAACGTAATAATAAAAAAAAATTGAAATCAATGAGCTATTGTGTTGCAAAATAATATCATATGAGTGAACACCTTTTTAATAAGATATGCACTTTTTTTTTTTCATTTTATTTTAATCTTTTTTATTTAAATTTTTCGGGTTTTCGTCATTGATATGTCCAAATATAATTTAGCCTGTAACTGATTTAACAGAAGCTATAAACACTACAGAGTTTTGCTCTCAGCCAATGAACTAAGCCCTGCACTGCCAGGTTTGGCTCAGACAGAGAGCTTTAGTCGGTAGTGGAAACGATGACCTTAATCTGCTGGATCACAAGAAAGAAGTGACTCCTTACCATGGAGGTTGCCAGTGCAGTCTAGGCACCATAACTACTTCTATGCACAAAGAATTGGGCAACTTTGGTTGATTAAGCACGTTTGGTAAAGGGTGCTCTCTGCATGACTCGGGAAACTTTGAAAATATACTCGTGACAGGTAATTCATGCAAATTTCACATTTTATTGGGGTAGATGAAGGCGGTTGCTTTTGAATTAAAAAAAAATGCAAAACAAAAATTGTTCACTCTACTACAGGATGTAAATACTGCTACTGGTGTGTTAATCAGAACTACACAAAATAATGCTAAAATGATTTGGGAATTTGTCATGCTGTTCTAATTCCCTAATTCCTTTCTTAGCTGGATACGTCTTCCTCTTCTGACAACTGAAACTAATAAAGCCGTAGACTTTATACAAAGTCTTTCTTATATACCTGAACTTTTTAATTAGGTCTACATAGCTTTGTTTCATCATTTCTAATTTAATTTTAAAGTAATCTTCTGGATTGGAGATATGTTATTACAGTATCTTATTCTCTTTGTCTATTCTATTGTAACAAGAGGAAAGGAACCTCAAAATCATGAACGCACTGCACAGATTGTGAGTTTTATTAGTCGAAAGGGTCTGCCAAAAACACAGGAGGGAGAGAACTGATTATATAAAGAGAAACGATCTTGCCATTAACCCAATTAACTGAATCTGAAATAAAGCACACATATGATGTGTAGGAATAGTAAAAAAAATTAGCTGATGCAGAACTCCCCACACCCTCCCCGCTTTAGAAGCTGAAATAATTGAGCGATGCTTTGATGTGCGTTAGTCATGATATTCTGCAGTGTCTTGGGCTACTTTTAATCAGTTGGCAAACTCACAATGGCTTCCATTCCTTTATAACCGAACCCGATAAAAATCAGAACTTCTACTAGGAGCATTGTAATAATAGATCTAATTAAAATAGCTGAAAGTGAATTCCACCTTTGCATATGTAACTTAAATACTGTAATTTATTGGGCTTTTATTGCATATTATATTGCACAGCCTGCACTTGTAAAGTAAATCAGATTAGTCTGCATCACACAGAAGAACAGTTAATAGCTGTACTAAACCTCTTCTATAAAAATATATGTGGATAGAAAATGAATAAAGGCTGTTATGGGCCACAGAAAAGAGGCTAAATAAAATAATAGCCCCCACTGTGCTTTTGGTGGAGGCACAGCACTATAAATGTGTTAATAACGTGTTAATTAGGAAAATGATGATGAAAATGAATAGCTAAAAATAAGATGAAATATTATCTGAACCACTGGGGGAATATGTAAATTCAAAATTCCAAACTGGTGAGGATAACAAATGAGCACTACAGCATTTTGCAATAAGTGGGTGAGGTGGTACTTGTCAGCCGTGCCCGCTTGCAGCATATTGGGTCCCCATGGAGTTTAAATCTAGACTGCCCTGTGGTCTCTTTTTTGTGCACCACTCAGGAGACGGATTAGTAGACTGATTTCTGTCCTCTAACAAACAGCACCACCCAACCAATTTACCCCAGTATACCTTCTATACATAAAATAACATTTTAGGGAGTTTTAACACAAATTCACTTCATTCTGGACACCACATCATAAGGCTTTGGTATCTGGGCCTGGCAGGGAAACTTTGGACCTTCTCATCTTCCCAGGTAAGAAAAAAAACATCAGTGTTAATGTGTTCACTTTTATTTACTGAGTGTCAGGAAGCACAGAGTGCCGCTGGGTAGGGGTGTCGTTGATCGGCTAGAGCGGTCAGCTGGCACTCTAAGCCCCAATCAGTAGCTCCCCATTCATAAAAAGTAAAACATTTTTATAAACTGGGATCTAGCGATTAGCTGTCAAAGTCACGGCCTGCAGGCCGCATGTGGCCCACAATGAATATCTTTGTGGCCCACAATGAATATCTTTGCGGCCCAGCAAAGATATTCATTGCACCGGTCACCTGGAGGCCTGCGGTAATGAAATGTAGCAGACAGAGGCGGTCCAGAGGCTGGCAGAGGTGGTCCAGGAGTGCATGGAGGTGCGCAACGTCACGTCCTGATGTGACGTCTACATGCTCCGCCGTCAAGGAGTTTCGTCTTTGTCGTCTGTGTAAGAACCATTCAGCCCATCTAGTCTGCCCAATTTTCTAAATACTTTAATTAGTCCCTGGCCTTACCGTATAGTTAGGATAGCCTTATGCCTATCCCACGCATGCTTAAAGGGACTCTACAGTGCCAGGAAAACAATCCGTTTTCCTGGCACTGCAGGTCCCCTCTCCCTCCCACCACCCATCCCCGGTTGCTGAAGAGTTGAAAACCCCTTCAGTGACTTACCTGAGACCCCCGCCATCCCTCGGCGGTGGTTCCAGGTCGCCGCCGCTCCTCCCCTTTATCACGTCAGCCGGTGGGGGAGACTGAACCTGCCCGCCGGCTGAGGAGACCTAATGCGCACTAGAGCTCTCCATAGGAAAGCATTGAAAATGCTTTTCAATGCTTTCCTATGGGGAATTGAGCGACACTGGAGGTCCTCACACAGCGTGAGGACGTCCAGTGACGCTCAAGCACAGAAAACCTGTGCTATGAAGCAGGAAGTACCCTCTAGTGCCTGTCTAGTAGACAGCCACTAGAGGAGGGGTTAACCCTGCAAGGTAATTATTGTTTATGAAAACTACAATAATTACACTTGCAGGGATAAGGGTGGTGGGAGTTGGCACCCAGACCACTCCAATGGGCAGAAGTGGTATGGGTGCCTGGAGTGTCCCTTTAAACTCCTTTACTGTGTTAACCTCTACGACTTCAGCTGAATGGCTATTCCATATATCCACTACCCTCTCAGTAAAGTTATACTTCCTGATAATATTTTTACTTTGCCCCTCTAATTTAAGACACTGTCCTCTTGTGGTAGTTTTTCTTCTTTTAAATATAGTCTCCTCCTTTACTGTGTTGATTCCCTTTATGTATTTAAATGTTTCTATCATATCCCCCCTGTCTTGTCTTTCCTCCAAGCTATACATGTTAAGATCCTTTAACCTTTCCTGGTAAGTTTTATCCCGCAATCCATTAACCAGTTTAGTAGCCATTCTCTGATGTCTCTCTAAAGTATCAATATACTTCTGTTGAAACAGTCTCCAGTACTGCGTACAATACTCCAAGTGAGGTCTCACCAGTGTTCTGTACAATGGCATGAGCACTTCCCACTTTCTACTGCTAATACCTCTCCCTATACAACCAAACATTCTGCTAGCATTTCCTGCTGCTCTATTACATTGTCTGCCTACCTTTAAGTCATCAGAAATAATCACCCCTTAATCCCTTTCCTCAGATATTGAGGTTAGGACACTATCAAATATTCTGTACTCTGCCCTTGGGTTTTTACATCCAAGATGCATTATCTTACACTTATCCACATTAAATGTCAGTTGCCACAATTCTGACCATTTTTCTAGTTTACCTAAATCATTTGCCATTTGGCTTATCCCTCCTGGAACATCAACCCTGTTACATATCTTAGTATCATCAGCAAAAAGACATACCCTACCAACAAGACCTTCTGCAATATCACTAATAAAAATATTAAATATGTATATCATTCCTCCTTGGTGTTTTTAAAGGACCACTCTAGGCACCCAGACCACTTCAGCTTAATGAAGTGGCCTGGGTGCCAGATCCAGCTAGGGTTAACCCATTTTTTCATAAACATAGCAGTTTCAGAGAAACTGCTATGTTTATGAATGGGTTAAGCCTTCCCAAATTTCCTCTAGTGGCTGTCTCATTGACAGCCACTATAGGCGCTTGTGTGCTTCTCACTGTGATTTTCACAGTGAGAGCACGCCAGCGTCCATAGGAAAGCATTATGAATGCTTTCCTATGTGACCGGCTGAATGCGCGCGCAGCTCTTGCCGTGCGTGCGCATTCAGCCGACGGAGAGAAGAAGAGGAGGATCGGAGGAGGAGAGCTCTCCGCCCAGTGCTGGAAAAAGGTAAGTTTAACCCCTTTTCCCCTTTCCAGACCCGGGCGGGAGGGGGACCCTGAGGGTGGGGGCACCCTCAGGGCACTATAGTGCCAGGAAAACGAGTGTTTTCCTGGCACTATAGTGGTCCTTTAATTTGAATACATTTTCACTTTTTGATATTTGTTGATTTATTACCTGGTTACCATGTCGGCTCGGTCTGCTAGTAGCAGAGAAGAGATGCCAAGTGTCTGGAAGAAAACATTCATTTTATTTGACTATATGTCTGTTTAACTGTTATTCACCTCTTTCATATTAAGTGCACCCACACTTATTATATATAATTGTTTTCAGGACTAACAGGGCTTTCATTTAACATCAAATATTTAGGTATGAAACATAATTTAATTTGAATAAAATATTTAAAAATGGGAGAAAATAAGATTTATTTTTATTTTTTTTAGTTCTACATGACATTTTATCAGTGAATGTCATAATACTGTTTGCGTTTACTGCAATAAAATACACATTTTTGTATTCACCGATGTCTCACATGTAAAACAGAACCCCCTATGTACAGGTTTTATGGTGTTATGTGAAGTTACAGGGTCAAATATAGCATAATACATTTTTCATTTTTTTCACATTGAAATTCGCCAGATTGGTTACGTTGCCTTTGAGACCGTATGATAGCCCAGGAATGAGAATTACTCCTGTGATGGCACACCATTTGCAATAGTAGACAACCCAAGGTATTGCAAATGGGATATGTCCAGTCTTTTTTAGTAGCCACTTGGTCACAAACACTGTCCAAAGTTAGTGTTAATATTTGTTTGTGTGTGAAAAATGCAAAAAACTAATTTGAACGCCAACTTTGGCCAGTGTTTGTGACTACAAAAAAGACTGGACATACCCCATTTGCAATACCTTGGGTTGTCTACTATTGCAAATGGTATTCCATCATGAGGGTAATTTTCATTCCTGGGCTACCATACGGTCTCAAAGGCAACGTAACCAATCTGGCGAATTTCAATGTGAAAAAACTGAAACGCAAGCCTTATATTTGACTTTGTAACTTTTAAAAACACCATAAAACCTGTACATGAGTGGTACTGTTATACTCTGGAGACTTCGCTGAACACAAATATTAGTGTTTCAAAACAGTAAAACGTATCACAACAATGATATCGTCAGTGTAAGTGCCGTTTGTGTGTGGCAAATGCAAAAGAATGTCACTTTTACTGACGATATCATCATTGCAATACATTTTACTGTTTTGAAACACTAATATTTGTGTTCAGCGAAGTCTTCCGCGTAAAGCAGTACTCACCTTGTACAGGTTTTATGGTGTGTTGGAAAGTTACAGGGTTAAATATAGTGCTAGCAAATTAAATTCACTGGACTTTCAGCCTGGGTTGTCAGGCAGGTCCCGCAAATTGTAATTAATAAAATGACCTTTGTAAAATTATTACATAAATGTATATGTAGAATTATTATATATATTTTTTTTTAAATTATTTTTATATATATATATATATTATTTCGTTCTACGTGTATTTTGATATCAATGTATATATATATTATCAAAATACAGTTAGAACAAAATTACACATATATATATTTTATGTATTTACATATTTATTTATTTTTTGTTATATATAATTATATATATTTAATCAATATCATTCTACGTGTATTTTGATATTAATAATATATTTATATATTAAAATAGTTAGACAGTGTATGAGTGTGTGTGTGTGTGTGTATATATATATATATATATATATATATATACTTAGATCATATATATAATATATATGATCTAAGTATATATAATTGTATTTTAAACTGTTTTTAAATCTTTTATTTTACATTTTTCAGGCAGCAGGGGGAGAACGTGTCATTATAGACACTTTCCCTTGCTGGCACTGCTGTGGACAGCCATGCAAAGGACGGCAGGGACGTGCTATGCCGCCCGCCAGCGTTTAGAGCCAGGTCCCCAAGGGCGGCATAGCACGCCCACCGCCCTTAAGGGGTTAGCGCTATTAACCTTATTTCCAGCGTCACGACGATCTCTTCGTCTCTTTACTTAATGGGTGTCCTGTTTTTTTATTTTCAAAATCTGGTCACCCTGGCTATGTGATAATGTCTATGTCCCTCCCCTTCATGACACTGTAAAAAGGGGGCCAAGCATGGATGTCTTTAAAATTATGCCTCCCACCCCCTTGGAAAAATTCCTGCGGATGCCCATGGTTGCCAGTGCTACAGTTCTTTGATTCCTGCAGACTGAGGTGTTACCATTTAGTCACGTAGATGCTGGACTGGTTAGAGAGAACACCAGGATTTACCAGGGATTTCCAGTGGCCAGTGAGGAAATGTTGAAATAACAAAGGCCAGTTGGGTGTTCTTAGTCCTTTGTGCTAAGGAAACTTGACATGACTTGAGAGAAAAGAGAGCGATTTTATACTGGGTACGGGATGTCTCCAAGCACTGTATACTGTAGTTACACATTAAACAAGTTCCTCCTGTCTGAGCATCTATTTTAATACATTGCTGTAAAATGCTATTTGAATTAGACAGATTTCTGTATGTTCAGAAGTATACACAGCCTTTTGCATGTTATAGGTATTTATTTCCCAATAGGATGCTCTATTAATTGCAAGAAAATAAAGACTCCTATAGAACCTTTGAATAACATACAAATGGAAACTACTTGAAACCAATAAAAGCCGTGTTGACCCTTGTTAGTAGTATTGCTTAATACTAAAATATTTGCAATATTGTGCAAGTTGTCTGTTCCTCATAAAGTAAAATTGTTTTACTGGTGTCAGTGACCCATGGTTGATGTAGGGTTTAAAGATTATTTTACTTTTGTACTAGAATTAAAGGCAAGTCATGAACCATAACAACGATATTGTTGCTAGTGGGGAAAAAATGAATAAAATACAAAAAGGGGAGATGGCATAGGTCATTGGATTTTACCTTTGGTCACTCATCCTGGTGATGCAAACACTGCACACTCCCTTAAGCCACCATCCAAAATGTCTCTTTTATTTATGTTTTGTGTATGTTTGTGAATCTGTAAAACAAAAGCAGCACTAGCTTTCGATTATATAGGAAAATGATTTTAGGCCTCGCTCTCGGAACCTCCAGCGGGTGCAGACTAAGTGCCGAGGTCCCTGGAGTATATCAGAGCCACTGGTTACCACAGTTTTTCTCTGATTCATTACCACGCGCTGGCCTGAGGGCGCAATGGACATGGTCTGCAACACTTGGAGGTGCAGACCAGATATTGAGCCCACCAAACCAACAGGACTACACGTCTCCCCTCTCTGATACAAGGCTAGCAATAGAGTGGGAGGAAATTACAAAAAACAAAAAATAAATTGTAAACACTACAGACCCTATTCCTACTTGCTAACACTCCACAGATATACACCTCCATGTCCGTTCACTGACACTACAGAAATACAACTCTGCATTTGCACTTCAATGCACTGCAGAAACACATTGCCCACATTCACACTGAGGCACCACAGAAATTCATCTCCAACCCCCCCCCCCCACCACCCCAGGAATGTGATTGTGGGTGATGAGCAGGGCCACCAGGGGGTAACAGCTGGTAGTCGATTCAGGGGTTTGTTTGAGCAGCGAGGGCCATATGAACTGGACTGCATTGTGGAACTATAGGGGACTGCCTGTTCTTCATTCCTGTGTGTTTTTGTGCTGGGGAAAAAGTCATGTCACTTTTCTGACTTTGCTTGGTTTTGTACTCAAAACAATGTTTAGCTCAATTAAGCATTTTTTGTGTATAGATCATCACTGTCGGTGTCATTGCTCAACTCTTTGCCATTTAGGAGTTAAATCATTCTATTTATGCAGCCCTAGCCACACCAACATGGAAAAAAAGTCTCATATTCAATCAGCACAGTATGTTTAATTTAGAAGTTGCTTTGTTGATTGAATTAATCACACGCAGAAGACTATAGCAAACTATTAACAGCAGCGGATGTAATATTCTAAATTAAACAGTGTGCAATAAAGGAGTTTAAACATTAGATATCTCTTTACAGTACATGTGTAGGTCGACTGTGTAGGTCACATAAGGAGAGTTGTGGCTAAAGCTGTGTAAACAAAGTGATTTAACTACTAAATGGCAGAGAATTAACAAATAAGACGGCAGGAGCATGATCTGTGCACCAAAACTGCTACATTTGGCTGAAGTTGGGTTTTGATGCTTAAAATTGCCCCTTTTAGAGCGACATTATTTTTTCTAGAATAATTGCTAGTTGTAATAATAATATATATTTTATTAGTAGTATTATATATGTAATGAATATTTTATTGACCTTATTTGTTTAAAATACACTTTTCTCATGTATTTTCTTCTCTTCTAGATGCTACGTTCCTTCCCTCTGTATCTTGGATGTGGAGAAGCCTCTGTTAACCTTTTTAAGATGCTTGTAGGAGTCTAAAAGGATTTTAACCCCATTGATCTAAAGTACAAAAGAAAAATAAGAACTACATTCTAGTTAACCTGGAAATGTATATTGCATACGTTTAGTTTAAAACTCAAGCATTATTTCCCCTCTTTACATAGAACTTTCTGCTGCTTTTGCAGTAAGGCACTGTGTTTCCTGATACCATCACCTTTTAGGCAATATACTCTAGCTAGTATCCTGCACAATTGTTCTGATTTGTTTTTGTGTTTTTTTGTTTGTTTTTTGACTGTTTAAACCATGGGTTAACAAACATTAGGACCTGCAGTGCCATGGGTCCTAAACACATTACATTTAGGCTAGACATTCTGTCACCATTGTTTGAGTGTATTTTTTATGGAGCTCTACAGATGTCCCTCTTCGTTGGCTCCAAAACAAACTTGCTTGGCTTCTATTAATGTACATCTGATTTCTCCAAATATACAAACATTTCTCAATATGTGGCTTAAACAAACTGCAGAAAAATTGGCACCATTCATAGTATTTGATCCATGTGAATCATTGAAATGTGTTGTCTCTACAGGAGCCAGATTGTGGCACAGCATTCTAAATATGACCAGTGACATTTATGGAGACAAGTCCAAAGGTTAATCTACTAGGCCCACAGTGTACTGTAGATACACTTTCACTAACCCAGCTTCCATACATAGCATCCAAGAATTCACAGCTCTGAAAATGAAAGGAGTATTATTGGGTGTGTTTTTCCACTTATATGGGTAATATATGAAAAAAAAAATCTACCAAAGAAAAACACTTTTCCCATGGATCTTGTTTGTTTGGTTTGTTTTTTCCCAAAGAAAGCTGTAAGTTTGGCGTTTTCTCTTTCAAACGAATAGGAAAATTAATCAACATAAATATTAAATACCATCTAATGCACAACAAGCAAAGGCTTTAAAAAAAAAAAAAAAAAGGGGATTCTTGGAGACTGGCTGCCTTGTGAGCGAATTATTTATTTATTTTGCATATTTTACATTTTGGGCAAGGTTAACCTTGCTTATTAATGCCATGGGGGTTAATTAACCATCAGATTAAACATGCACAGAGTTATGTAGGCATCTTCTATATAAAGTTAAAAAAAAAAAAATATCTGAGGCCAATTGTTACTTATTGTATTTATTAATATTTTTGTATTAAGAGTATTTCTTTTTGTTATTGCATAAATTCAAGAGCGGTATTTTAGGTATCCTCGGTACAGTTTTTTTTTTTTCATGCCAGTGGTTGCTGTGTTTCAGTTACAGCAAAAATCTTTAAAATAAAATTGTCTTTGTGTCTTGATATAGTGCTAATGGAGAATAGTTTGGTAAATGTGGCAGCTTTTGCCTCCCGTATCTAGCTTCCCATGAGCCATCACTCTTAAGGACTGATGAAAACAAATACTTTCCACACAATTGATGCATATAGCATGTTACATGGCTGTGAGATCGTCTGAGAGCATTCCATTGAATTCATTTTGAACTCTTACAGCACCCAAGAGTGCAAAGGTGACACATCACCTATCAAAATCAAACGCCAGGATCTGGAAACAAGAATACAGAGGTGAGAGGGGAGAGCGGTGTCTTTAAACTTACAAAGTAATTTTCAATTTTGAAATTATAACACTATTTTGAGTCAGGTTTGTTCAAATCTGGAGATTTACTCAAGAGTTGCTTTGTAATATTCTGTTGCACAGAGAAGTGAAGGGTGATAAAAATCTAGTGTGCATAAGGACAAATGAGAGGAATCTTTATAAAAAATAAATACAAAAATATGAATGTGGGGGAAACATTGGAGGGTTATGTGTAAATTGTGTTGTATTCAAAAAAGTGGACGACTGTAAGATGGAAATCACAATGAGGTCCAGCAGACACATCCCCTTGGTGACTCCACCCTTTTATATCTTTGCCGACACTTTTTATACATAACCCCTATTGTTTCTTGTCTATCTTAAATGACAATGTACGAGCAGGAGGCCAACAGATGATGAAGATGGAACTTAATGTTTGTGTTCAGGGGTCCATTTAGTCTTTGAGGTTGACCCAATAAGTACAGTAAGGCATTACTTGACTTACCGTGAAGCACTTTGTGATGATTCATTAAAAGGGTGAATGCACTGTATAAGGCACATTATCTGTATATGTTGTACCTTTTATTTAAGATACCGATATAAAAAAAAAAAAAAACTCAAAAGTTGAAAATAAAGATTGAAACATCATACTGCTTGTGGCTTTTGAAATACAGTTTAATAAATGTATAGAATTGTTTTGCTCTGCACCCAGTTCTCCAGGAAGTTCAGCAGGACTGGTATCTTTTGTATCGTGACAGTCCCGAGAGGCATACCAGGATTGTCTGGTGTGGTTTATCAATGATGTCAAAGTTTGATACATATTTGTAATTTTATGATCGAAAATAAATTGTTCATATACAAAGATGTTGCCCTGTGGTTCAGGTCAGAACTAGACACTTTCTATATTGTATATTGTTTGTCTTCCCAAATGTGAATTCCTGATGGATTTTCAGTATAAAATGAAAAACTGGTGTAAAATTAAAAACAAGTCGCGTAAAAACAACTGTACATTGAAGTCTCCTAGTTTGTCTTTTCATTTTTGACCTTTTAATGTGGAATTTTTAAGAGAAACACTATGCATAGACCTTCATATCCATGAAATCCACATTCTGCGTGGTCAACAGACTTAGACATATGCACATTTTATTAACCAGTGTGGTTCATTTACAAAGCATGTGGTATCATTAAAGGGTTACTTACTCCAACCAACATGAATTCTACAGTGATTTGAAATCAACTAAAGTATGTTTTGTCATCGATGCGCACTGCATTCTGGAAACAAATGTGCCAAGCTTTTATCCTTGCAGGCAGTGCCTGAAAGCGGAAGCTTAAACCTCCCTTCCTAACTCCCTGCCACCACCTATACTCTCCCCTCGCTGGCTCAGTGCATGCGCTCTGAACCTGTGAAATGGTTTAATCATATTTTTCTCTGATTAGACCACTAAGAGGAAGGGCGTGACTCAGACATGACATGGAAGGCCCTCGTCCAGTGCAGGATTGCCGGTGAGTTACGTTTTTATTTCACAATGTTTTACATAGAAAAAAAGGTTGGAGTTCAATACTGTAAGAATGTTCACAATACACTACTAGATAGAAATGCAGCATGGACAGAAAAGCGCATTGCAAAGCATTTTGCTTTTTCATGGGGTTACCTGCCTCTTTGTTGGAGTTAAAACCATTCCCTGTATAGTGATTTGCATTTAATATTTTATTATTTATTAGCTTCTGGTGCTTGCCTGGATCACGATAACATTATGTTGACTGAGATGTGTTAAGAGTGTATTTCATCATGGGAATGCTCCATACTTCCTGACTGGGAATAGATCCAGACTTGCTAAGCAAGCCTCTGTCAGCAAGCACGATGCTTGTGGAGCGTGTAAATAATACAAATGTAACAATCACATACAATAACAATGCACACATCATTATCTTTTTTTTCTGCACACGTTTGTTTGTGGACAGTTGATCGCAGTGCAGTGTTTATACAAATAGCTTATTTACAGACTTGTATTTCCATCAATGTCAGTGTGCTAATGGAGAGGGTGACTGGTTTCTTCTGCTTTTTTGCAGACGTTTCCTTTACCACCACGTGAAAAATGCTTAAAATGTTAAGTCCTAAACCACTGGCCATATTTTAAAATGTGCTCTGCATGTCTGTTATCAGTGAAACTCTCCTCTAAGCATGTCTCCTGTTTGCCTTCAGGCTAAGAGAAAGCAATGCCTACAGGAGGAAGGAGGGGCACGCTTTATGTGAGAGCCGAGAGCAGCATGGAGACAAACAGCCTGAGAAGGAAGAGAGTGAGAAAGAATAGATAGGTTTTATTTATCATAAAGCTCAACATGTTGGGGACTTTCAACCCGTTATGGAAAGCAAGTTTGTGCTTCCTTAACAGGTTTATGCAGGAGAGGGATGAAACACAATTGTACAATAATTCTTACCTCTGGGCCAAGCAGCACACACCGAATAGACTGACAGGAGGTGCAAAAAGGGACTGTTTTTAATCTCTCATTTTAGAGAAATCTAGACATTTGCTAGCAAATTCGTAACACAATGTATAGATGAAATTTGATCCCCTATAATTTAAGATTAAGTTGTATTATATCATGACAGGCACTCTTTAGCACTTAAAGGATCACTATAGTGTCAGGAAAACAAACTTGTTTTCCTGACACTATATAATCCTTAGGTCCCCCCCACCCCTCCCGCTCAATGCTTTCCTATGGACATTCTGCGTGCTCAATGCGATTTTCGCATTTAGCGTTGCAGAAGCGCCACTAGAGGCTGGATTAACATATGTTTACATCTGAAGGGTTAAAACCTGGGGGACCTGGCACCCAGACCACTATAGTGGTCCTTTAAACATTCAGTCCCTCATGTCTTGGACTACAAGTAACCGTATTACCATAACCCATGCAACAACTGCTTAATCTCACTCAAATATTTCACTTGCCACACATTGTGACAATATGTGTAATGTGCTATGAAACCGCACCTACTGAATCCCTGACAGAAACAGCCAACGTGTTTCGTTCTATGATATGGAATTGAACATAAGCATGGATGGACGGTTTGATTGTTCATCAGGGAAGTTATGATGAATATTTGACTTAGATCTGGCTATCTAGATCCAAAATTCAACTTCTCAAAGTGTAAGATTTCAAAATAAAAATTGTTTATCAAAAATGAACATTAGAGTAAATTTAGTGAAGAAAAAATATGCGGATGCTAAAAATAACACCTGTGTTTACATGGAATTCTGGCAGAAACCTCTTGGAATGTATAGTAACTGGCACTAAGTGTTCTGTTTATATTAACTGCTGCACCTACTTCCATGGAATAGCACATGAAATGTCACCAGGCTGTACTTTGGGAAGTATTTACTGAGTTTTAAATTAAATCTTGTTTTATTTGTGTAGAATGAAGAGGTAAACTGTAAAGATGGTACCATCCTACTTGGAATGCAGAGTATGGACAAGGAAGTGCAATAAATCAAGGCTGACCAATACACACCCTCCTTATATCCTACTCTGCTGCCATTCCCCATTAAGGGGGCAAACTCTTTTACAACTGATTGCCCTCTTACCTGGTCCTGTTGAGCACCGGGTCTCCTCTTAAGCAGGGTTATGATATTACAATTAAAATCTACAATTATATAGCATATCAAAATATTTAGCAGCGCTGAACAGGTAAAACAAGACCATTCTAACGAAACACAATTCATATATAGGAAAAAGTAGGTGAAGAGCTTACACTCTAAAGGATGATGGAAAAAATACAGAGAGGGGAGAGTGAGAATCACTTCAACGTATGGCAGGGGCGTTTGGGTAGAGGAAGCACAGCACGCTATGTGATGACCTCCAGCGTCGCTGAAATCCCCACAGGAAAGCATTTTTCAATGCTTTCCTATGGGGAGGTCTAATGCGCGTGCATTGCCGCGCATGCGCATTAGGTCTCCCCCACTGGCGGCCGCGCATGCTCAATAGGTCTCCCCTGACAGATGATGTTGGTGGGTGGAGGCCCTAAATTAGAATAAGGGGGGGGGGACCTATTGTCCTCCTCCCTGACTCCCACCCCTGAGCGGCGGATAGGGGCCCTAAATAAAATGTAGCCCCCCCAGGTAACTAGGGGTCCCCAAACCCCTTGTCACCCCCTCCCAAAAAAAAATAACCCCTACCTACTCCCCTAATCCTAAAAATAATGAGGGGGGACCCTTATCTAAATACCTGTAAAAAAAAAAAATAATTAAACTTACCATTTGATGTCTTCTTTCTTCTAAACTCTTCTTTTTTCAGCACCAAAAAAGGCAAAATAAAAATCCATAATAACCAACGCACTTTAAAAAAAAAAAAAAACCTAGCGCAAAAAAAAAAAATCCATCTTCACCCACGGAGGGCTCCACGCAGACTGAGCTCTGCAGGGCGGGGGAAGGCTTATAAAGCCTTGCCCTGCCCAGCAATTAGGCTCAGAGCACTCTGATTGTTGGGTTTAACCCCTAAAGGACCAAACTTCTGGAATAAAAGGGAATCATGACATGTCACACGTCATATGTCCTTAAGGGGTTAAGCCATCCAATCAGTGCTCTGACAGGTAAATGAAGAGACTGACAGGTAAGTCTCTACATTTACCTGTCACAGCACTCTGATTGGTTGGTTTGAAATCCACCAATTAGAGTGCTCTGTGTCATTTTACACAGCGTGGGAAAGTTCTTTGGAATTTTCCCACGCTGTGTAATTTGACTCATTCTCTGATTGGTGGATTGAAAGTAACCAATCACAGTGCTGTGACAGGTAAATGTAGAGACTTACCTGTCAGTCTCTTCATTTACCTGTCAGAGCACTCTGATTGGATGGCTTAAACCCACTAATCAGAGTGCTCTGAGCCTAATTGCTGGGCGGGGCAAGGCTTTATAAGCCTTCCCCCGCCATGCAGAGCTCAGTCTGTTCGGGGCCCTCCATGGGTGTAGATGGATGCTTTTTTTTTTTTTTAAGTGAGTCGTTATTATGGATTTTTATTTTGTCTTTTTTGGGGCTGAAAAAAGAAGAGTTTAGAAGAAAGAAGACATCAAATGGTAAGTTTTATTATTATTTTTTTTTTTTTTTACACAGTTATTTAGATAAGGGTCCCCCCTCATTATTATTAAGATGAGGGGGGTAGGTAGGGGTTAGTTTTTAGGGGGAGTGGTGACCGGGGGAGGGGGGTTACATTTTTATTTAGGGCCCCCACCCATCACCCAGGGGTGGGGGCCAGGGGGGAGGACAAAAGGTCCCTCCTTATTCTAAATTTAGGGCCCCCACCCGCCACTCAGGGGTGGGGACCAGGGGGATGACAATAGGTCCCCCCCTTTATTGATATTTAGGGCCCCCACCCACCGCTCGGGGGGGGGGAGGACAATAGGTCTCCCCTTATTCTTCTTTAAGGCACCCACCTGCCGCTCATGGGTGGGGGCCAGGGGGAGGAGAATAGGTCCCCCCCCTTATTCTTCTTTAGGGCCCCCACCCGCCGTTCAGGGGCGAGGGCTGGGGGGGGGGGGAAATATATATATTTATTTTTTTGTAGTTTTTTTTACAGGGAGCAGCCACAGGCTGCTCACTGTTTAATAGACATGCCCATACTCGCGGTATAGCGAGTAGGAGCATAATTTACTAATACTAAGTAATCTTTACTTAGTATTAGTAAATTTGTCTGAAATACCAGTTTAGGTCTTTGAGCCTTTTAGGAGATAGCTCCCTAATGCCGCGGGAATTAGGGGGTTATCTACTTATGCATTCCTGTAATTACATTGACAGGCTAAGTAACTCATTTTATATAAATGTATGTTACTTGATTGTTGTAAGTGTTGTATACTTTTGATTTAAAATTGTATACAGTGTAACATTCTTCATTCTTCCACTAGGTAAGTATATTAGTACTTAGGCAATACTGTGCTTCGGAACTTCAACAAGTCGGCAATTCAGCTATTCGGAAGTACCCGAATGTCCGAATTCGAATTCGG